AATGTTCACATGATGGACTGACTCGATTCACCCATATACCCCTGTTATCGATCCGAGATTAGCATTCATATTTTCTTCCATTTACATCTTCTCATTTTAAAACGATTAACAATTGGTTAGGATAAATTAAGAATGGGTTTCAACGGGTTAGGATGGGTTACCGATAAATTAGCATAGATTAGAACAGGTTACCACGAGTTAGAATGAATTACCTGTCCGTTCAGGTACCGAAAGTCGGGACCCGGGGGGATCGACGGCGGATGTCGTTTGGAAGCGAATCTTCCTTTTTCGTTTTCTCCTACGCCGCGTAGTTTCCGAGTTACAGCCCTCCAAAGAACCGACCAATCAAAAATGAAAACCACAACCCCCTACCAGAAATTCGTTGCGCCGCCCTTGGGGGCAAAAAACGGTGAAAGCTAACGTACGACACCAGAGGGCAGCACAGAATGCGATCGCGCTAGACAGCTAACGTACGAAACCAGAGGGCAGCACAGAATGCGATCGCGCTACCCTGCCCGTGAGCAATCTCCCAACTCATCTCTGTCTCTTCTAAGAGTCAGTGTCAGTCAGTGTCAGTGTCAAGTTTACGTCGGTTGCCTGTTGATCGAGTCAGTATGTTTGCATTCAAATCTTCTATTTGATTAAAGTGGAAAATATTTTTCAGCCATTCTTTCGTCGTGAAGTTCGTACACGTAGGGATTATTTCTTTTACGTATTCAATTGTTATTTATTTGTCAGTTTAGGTTAGTATGTCATTAATGCCGGTAAATATCTTCATTTCGTGCATACTGATCGCTATTATCATCGTATCCTTGCATAATACCGTGACGGTCATAAAACGTAATTGTTGAGGTTAGATCACTTGCTCATTTTTCAGCTAGAAATAAACGACGTAAAGTTTTGACAGGAAATGCGCATTAAAATCAAGATACATTAATAATTATTTCATTAATTTCGTGGGCAGAATGAACTTTGAAAATGGGATTAATGTTGTGCAAAGTACGTGATAAATAATGTTAATTTACTTGATGTATAGTTCTGGCAGGTAATAAGTGCGTTTGTTTGTTGGGTAACAGGAAACGAGGAACGTAAACTATCCGGTGCAGCTGTTCAATCGATATGGGAGCCGATAAATATATTCCAATGTTCGACGAACTACAAGTTCGCAGTCGTCGTACTGAATCGGTCTATTTACTGGAAGTCCGACGTTCTCCTCGACCTGTGGAAGAAAGGTTAGGCTTTTATTTTAAAGGATCATTAGACCGAAGTCAAAGTTGCTACCATTTAATTACATTATGTTAAGAACGACGAAAATTTGTTTCTTAATCTAATACTCGTGCCACATAGGACATATACGCTATGTTTCAATGCGTTTTGCCTAAAACGATATTTCTTCGATCAATGGAGGTTAAATCTTAAAACGTAACAGTTTCATCAGAAATTTTCGGTGCTTTTTCTATACATGTATCGTCTTACTCAAAACCGAGGCAAAATGTTAACTCTGTTATACCGTTTACATAAAAAATATAATGGCTATCAACGATTGGAAAGAAACATATCGAAAGTGAATTGAAATTAAAAATACGTTTTAATTTCAGCACAGGTAACCGTCACCGTCGATGGCGGGACCGATATATGGATGAAATGTTTGGGGGAAACTGCTGACTGCGTTCTTAATGGAAAATGCAAAGAGTTTGTACCTAACCTTATTTCCGGAGACATGGACAGCATCAAGAAAGAAACACTGGAGAAACTGAAACATGCCGGCGCTTCTGTTGTCGTGACTCCGGATCAAGATGAAACGGATTATACTAAAGCGCTGACTGAACTGCAGACTTACTCCAAATCACACGATATACAGGTTATCTACAAGTTGATATTAAATTTTGTCTCAGTCTTTTAACTCGTGTATTATTTTTATATCGATTAATTATTCTCAGTTGGATGGTATTTACGTCTTCGCTGATACCTCAGGAAGGTTCGATCATATCATCGGGAATATCAACACACTGTACAAAGCGAGACATATTGTTGGAGATATTCAGGTAGTACATCGTCAATTTTTCAAGGCACATTTCACTGAATAATTTCATTTATTCTTTCTCTGACAGGTCATACATATAGCGAGTACTTCACTGACGTGGCTGCTTAGACCGGGAACGCACAAAATATTTATTCCTACTTCTTTAAGGCAATCCGCATGTTGGTGCGGTATCATACCATTTGGATTTCCAGCACCAAATGTAACGACTACTGGGTTGAAGTGGAACTTGGGTACTAAGTGCTTTTACTTGTGTATTAACAGTAAACCTAACAACGATTCATCAATGAGATTTCAAAACGGTGGTGGGATTAGCGTTAAAGTGTTGTGAAAGTGACTTCCGATTGATCTTGTGTATTAAGGTGACGTGAAAGTGGCATTCAAAGGCTCGATTTGTGATACTTTTCTCAAAACTGGGAATACCGAATTGTTTGAAATCCTACCAAGTAAATATGAAGTCCCGAATGAAAGTTTTTACATTTTTATATATTATTCAGAAAAATGTTTATGAAGAAACATTTCAAATTTTTAATTTCATAGTTAGAGCCTTTAGGTTCATTCGTGTACTGAATTTCATAAAATATCAAACGATTCAACGTGTCTGATTCAGAATAAAGTTTCATGAATGAGGCCTCTCGGATGCCACTTTCGCGTCACCTTAATGCAGTAATTCCAACAGTGCAAGATTCTCGTTAAAAAAATGGAAAGTCGAGTTTCCTAACATTTTAACAGTGGCTTAAATAATGGACGTATTCATTTAATTAAACTAATTAATTTCTAGATCATCAATCCATGGAATTTGGCAGTCTAGTAAGCACTTCGAATACTTACGACGGTAGTCCTGAAGTTACTGTAACTACTGACACATCAATTGTTTGGACAATGGGAATTGAGCCTTTAGTGAACATTGTTGACGATGGCGAATTCTTTTCTTAAAACAAGTCTTTTAAGATTTAATAATTAGATTTACTTTTACACTTGAAAGCATTGCGAGTGCACAGTGAAAAAATTATATGTTCCAAGAAGATATTCACTTGAAACTCAGTGAAAACTATTTTATTCTTTGATAGTCGATGGTCTTCGATTTCATTTGATGAACAATGTAGTTTTTCAAAAAGTGACATTTGGTTTTAAATTTGTGACAATGGGTCGGTGTGGTTTCCATCGATTCCCAATGATTTCCAGCTAATTAAACCATGGTATCAAGCGTTAAAATCCATTACTTTTTTCATTGTTAACTGTCTTTGATTTCATATGATATAAACAAACGTATATTGAACAGCAACTGAGAATTCTATCGAGGAAATGACGGTGGGATTTATTATATTTCGGGTAATTTATTTAAAATAGTCTTAAGGGGTGGTGTAAAGATTAGCAATAATCTTTGAGGCCAAAGAACGGAACTTAGTTTGGCGTATTCACGAGAATCGGTGTTTTTCACATTTTTAATAAATATCTTACTGAAACGACTCACGACACGAGACTGCGATTAAACGATAACGAGAACTTCACGAAATATATATTTTTCTTCTTTTTTTTTTTGTTTCACGGTTTTCCTTTTGTTTACACGCATATGAACCATCGCGTGCCTGGAAACTCGCTTAACAATCGGAATATACATGTATATATATATTTTTTTACCTTATATACACAACATCACTAGCTACGATAACGATTATAGTGAGAGTGTCCGTTTATATCGGAAGAATACCTCGAAAAACGGAATTCTACATTTCTCTCGTCCACTTTAAGGTGAAGTGAAACCCCCTTCAAATCAGTCGATTCGAATACAACACTTTTTTTTTAAGGGTATTGGACCAAAATGTCTGAAACTTTGACACATGACTCGTGATCATCTAAGAATTGTCCGGACACATTCACAATTTGGATTTTTGGAAATAATTTTGTAACTTAGCCCAGACCAGAACCAAAGTGGCGTCGAGCTCTGATATTTCGATCAATATACAATTATTGAAGGCTCTGATATGAAAAACGAAAGGGTCAGGACAATTTAACGACAATTGAAAACAATCTGGTAATTGATCGACGTGTTTCACATCACCTTAACCCGAGCTTATATAAATATCTGATAATTCGTAACATTTTGTTAATTACAAGTTTACATCGGTACGATTAAAGAAACATTCAGGAGGTAATTCGTGGTCTCGAATCGCTCGGAAGTAGGAATTTCTCACTGACGAGTTTATCATTTTCTTTGATATTTCATCTTAACTGCTGGTCGAGAAAGGAGCATATCAAAAGTTCCGTATTTTTCTTTTTTTTTTTTCTTTTCATATCTTTCCGTTTAAATTCGTTGTACATGCCGTGAATAGTGGTGGGGGGGGGGGGGGAGGTTCGGTTTTTAAATGGTTTTAAACCTTCGCAACTATTTCTTTTCTTTTTTTTTTTTTTTTTTTTGTTGATGACTCTCGTCGGTCTCGTATTGCAGTTTTTTACGCTTTTTGAGCGCTGTGTGTCCGTTTATACGCCTCTTTATTCACGTTTATGGGAATTTCTTTTCGTTGTCTTCTGCTTGATGATAGAGGACGCCTCCTTAATATTTAATAACAATTATACAACATGTCATAACCACATAGTGCATATCTTCGGAATATCGCGGTTATCGCGGAAGCTTGCATTGATAGCAAGCTGGATGCCTTAAAGTGATATGAAAGCGTGATATATACATAAAATGGAAGTCAAAATATAAAAAAAAAAAATTTTTCTCCAAAATGGGTACACCGAGTAATCTAAAACTTTAACACGTGATTATGGAGACCATAAGGAATAACGCGCTGCTCGTGCAATTTCTTTTTTTTTTCGACAAAAAATCTGACTTATTTCGGACAAGAACCAAAAAAGATATATGTACTTTTTTCTTCGAAAAATTAAATTTCACGGGCAGCACGTTCTTCCTTAGAACCTCCATAATCACATGTTAACCCTTTGAACACGGAGCTATTTCGACATATGGGCGAAATTCGTCTGCCTGTGCAGGCAATATTGGACCAAACGTCGGACACCTTTGAGCGCTCTTAGTAGCCAAGGGGTTAAAATTTCAGATAAATCGGTGCACCCAGTTTGGAGAAAAGTTTTATAAATGTTTTCACTCTTTCTTATGTATATATCACGCTTTCATATCACCTTAAAGGATCATATGCAGTTGTCATAGGCGAAATTGATAAATTTCTTATCATAACTAAATTGCATTTTTCAATCGACAACAGTGCGTGATTTCATAGTACAATTATTGAACTTAATATGTAATTTTGGTTGTCAAGATATATGTTTAAAAATTGGCGAGGTGATTATGACAATTGCATATGACCTTAACTGGCGATTACACGGGCAGGTTTTAACCGTTTCTCCGTTTAAGCGGCTTTTAACCCACGATTTAACGTCCGTAACTCGCCCCGTCCGTAAAATGAGATTTCGGATAACTTGAGCGAATATTCTTTCTTTTCTTCTTTTTTTTTTTTCTTTTTTTTTCTGTCCACCTTACATCAAGGGAAACGATAAAAGTTATTAACTTTACGCGTCGATTTATATAAGCACCGGTTAAGTAATCGTAAACCTCGGTTAATCGAGTCTCTTGAGGAAAGTTTAAGGGAAGTCGAGAATTTCTACTTATTTAAATTAATCTTTTTCCTCGTATTGGCTCTCTAGTCTACTCAGTTTGCGTCAAATCGTAGCCGGCTCTCAGGGCCTTAAGGTGATATGAAAGTGCGATATATATATATATATACGTACAAGATGTCAAAATATTTCTGAAACATACCGAATTATTTAAAACTTTAAGGGGATGTGAAAGCAGCATCCGATAGCGCAATCGTTCATAAAACTTTTCTACCAACTGGATGTCTCGAATCGTTTCATACTAAAACGTGAATATGGAGACCATAAGGTAGGTCCTGAAACGCGTTATTCCTTAGAGCCTCCATAATCACGTGTTAAAGTTTCAGGTAATTCGGTGTACCCAGTTTGGAGAGAAGTATTATAAATATTTGTACTTTTTGGTACGTATATGTCACACTTTAATATCACCTCAAGGACGCATAAATAAATAATAAATAATTCGCTCGAGTCAACGCAGTTGTCTTTGGAGCATCCGCCGCCATATTGGATGCTCCCCTGGGGGATTTCGAACAATGCCTGGCCTCTTTCGTCGACTTAGTCGTAATTCTCGGACTCCTGTTGGACGAGTTTAAATCGACGAGGACTCTTTACGCACATCGAGCCATGCCCTTCGAGAGATAAACGGCCGATTCGTTGTAGATGCCTCGTGATGTATCTAGAGATCAGCTGTTGGGGTCGGATCTGCCACTCGTCCAACACTTCTTTCGGTGCCAGCACCTGGGGGGGACGGTTACATGGTTAGGGCTTTGATAATAGACTGTTTGAAATGATTAAGGGGAAGTGAAACCTCCCTCAAGTCAGTAGACTAAAAAAAAACCCCCCTTTTTTTTTAAGGGTATTGGATAGAACTGTCTGAAATGTTGAGGTAATGGACTCTGAAGTGAAACCTTAGTTGACACAGAAATCACAGATAGCGCCGGGGGTCCCCCTGCAGTCAATTAGGGCATCGGAAATCATGAATCCAGGAGATTTCTCGCTTTTTACTTGGATTTCTTTATAATTATTGTGGGAAAACGACACGTAGGTCTTTAGGAAAATCTGTTTTACCGACGTCGATCAAGTTCCTCGACGTGTTTCACTTCACCTTAATTACATCCGAGTCTGGGATTACCTGGTCGCCTTTCAGTCTGTCCAGAAGGGACACACAGACCACTGCAGATTTGATCCCTGCGTGGTGGGTCAACGCCGCGAAGGAGAGACTCTCCATCTCCATGTTCTGGACCCCGGCTTTGTGCATCTTGGTGAGATAGTCCATCTTGTCGTTCTCCGTAAACTCGCAAAAGGCACCGTCTAGGCGACCCTGGCCCTCGTAGAAGTCGTAGGTGCACATGGTCTTGCCGATTATCGTGTCGTAGGGATCTTCAGGGTGGGCCAGGGCCTTCAGCTCCCGAGCCAATTGACGGTCCAGCTTGGCTGGTCTTCTCACCATTTTCCCCAGTACCGGCTGGAAGAGGTGCCAGGTTATCGGTTCGTATCACTGCCGGCTAGTTTGGATTTATTATCAATCGGTAGGATTTTTACCAGCTCCAGAACGGGGCTCAGCATCCCGTCCACCGCTTCCTCGGAGATGATCACCGTCCCGCCGTCCACTCCTATCCCTCCACATGTTCCGATCCTGAAGAAGACCGGGTCCTTGATCCTCGCATGGTACATCAGCTTGATCACCTCGTGGAGAAGGATCCCAACCGATGGTATCCCCATTCCGTGCTGAAGGATTCGAAGGCGTTTATTAATTTGCCGTTTTATGAAGCCAGTAATTAATTGTCTGGTCCTTGGAGGTGCTGGGAAAATTTGTTAAATGGCAATTTATTTCATTTGCCGTTTTATGAAGCCAGAAATTAATTGTCCGGTCCTTGGAGGTGCAGGGAACGTTGTCAATTGTGTTTTATCTGGTACTCACGCTGATCGACAGCACCGGTCCAACTTTGTACATCGAGTAGCGATAAGAGTACTGACTGATGTCGAGTAGAGTCGTTCCTGCCGGAAGTTTGTGACCTATTTCCTTCATGATGTAAAAGGCAAACTCCTCCATCCGCTTTGGTGTCCCTCCCATGCATACAAACTGCAACGGCACCATTATGCAACATGTAACGAAATGTTAAATCGAATGCAATGGAACGATGCTTTTAATTACAATGTTTTCCTTATTGCGAAGGATCAGTCGAGCAATCTGGAGATGTAGATGTTAACGCTTATCACTCCACCCGGCGATAATACAACTTATACTCTTTTAACCCTATGAATATATNATATATGAGCGAAATTCGCCTGACCGTGCAGGCAATATTGGACTAAACGTCGGGCGCCTTTAGGCGCTCTCAGTAACCAAAGGGTTAATATTCTTATTTTCTGCGGAGCAGGAATGTCTTTGTTGATGCCTCTTTGTGCAGAGCTTCTACTCGCCTACCTTAACATCCCCGAACATCTCCACCAGGTCGTGAGATCCGCTTCCCAGGGCGAGATGATAAAGGATGTCCTGGTCCATCAGCTCGATGTTCGGGTTCCTGAGCCGAACCGAGCCATCTCTGAATCTTTAAAAGAAAAGCAAAGAAACTCTCGTCAGCGATTTCCTGTTGTCGGTAGACTTGGTTAACGAATTGATAAGACGGGTTATCGTAATCGCCCGATAACGCGCAATGCCATGTGGCGGTACATTAGCGATGCTAATTACCCAATTTGCACCGTGGAAAATCCTAACTTCAAATGTCATACCGTTGTTCATTGACATTGATCGCTTTTCCGAGGGAAAACCGAAGTAAAGTCTATCCTCCATTTGTACATACCTAACTGAACTATCCGTGGAAAATTCATACAATTGTTCATTGACATTCTCACTCTCAATCGGAGGTTTCTGTCGGCAGACATGTTCATCTTCGTCCTCCACTTGGAGGGCCTGGCAGGTGCATGTGGGCATTTTGAAAATTTTCGTCACAACTGATTTTTCATTGCTTTCCCCCCCAAAAAACCAACATTTCAAAAATCCTCCACGAGGGGAACTTCACAAACTCGACGATAACCGTGGAGCCTCGAAGATGATTTTGGAGGGTCACCTTCGAGGAGTGGCACTCAAAAGGTGTCTTTGGATGCAAGGAACTCCAACTTCGAGGTAGATTTAGACTTGTCTTGTCGAAAATCACTCGCGAGCACGAATGGCGCGACTCTTCGCTTTCTCTTCGGGAATGGTCGCCCCTCTCGGAATAGCTTGACTCAGTATGGCCGAACCTTTATAGTCAGTCGGCCATTATCCTTCCTACCACTCCCAGGGTCTGCCACCTGGTATTCATTCTACTTTCCTCCGAGCTGCCTGCCCTGTACGTGTGACTGTACCTCTACATCTACCGAGGCACGAAACGAACACCGCCTGGGTGATTAGACTCCTATCTGACCTGATGTCCCGACAAAAAAAAATATTTATATATATCTTTAGATATTTTTCTAGGTGGATGATAGACGATGTCCATTTGCTATACCATTTCCTATACACCTAATTTAGACGATTAATTTATGTTTATTCCACTTGATGAGTTGCCTGGGTCCATATTAGCAATATGTTGTATTATAGATATGCATATATATCCTTTAGATATTTCTTTAGGTGGATGGTAGGCGATATACATTTGCTATACCTATAGACCTAATTTAGACGTTTAATATAAGTACATTCCACTTCATGGGTTGCCTGGGCGAGAGACGTAGAGCCGAATTATGATAAGAATTATGTTACTACCTCGAACCGAATCTCACTCGATAAACTCTGTATTATTTTACAATAACACCCGTTCTCGGTAGGGCAACAATTAAATCCATACAAATCATTGTTTAGGCTAGTGAAGTCGAATAAACAATTTCAAGATTTTGCGATAATGGCTTTATCGCACTGTTGAGACTTCTTTTATCGGTTTCTCCTCGTCATGGGATTTATCTCGAAATCTCTCGATAAGAAATCAAGTATTCGGGGTTATAAGTATATTCAGTCCATGATAAGTAAATGAATTTTCAATGAAAAGTGGAATTTCAGGAGTTTCAGGATCTACTTTAGCGCCTCCATATTCCCGTGGTAAAATTTGAAACAAATCGGTACCCCCAATTCGGGGAATACTTTCCCCAACGATTTCATTTCCCAGATCCATTTTTGTTTATATCACCTGCCTTTTAATCCAGGTTTAACTAACCGCGGTTTATGGTCGTCGCATCTAGTCCGAGGATACACCTCGACATTTGTCTGGTGACTTTACAATATCTAGTTACCTGGTACCGTGCCGTATTGCCATTATTAATTGAGTGGTATCGATCGCGTTAGTTCTTGCCAATGAAAACCGAGTGTAGGAGTCGACTTCCGTGCCCGCAAGTCGATATTCGATTAGTCAGAGATATTTTAAGGTTAACGATGCATCAGGATGCATCAGGCCCTCTTTTAATCGCTCAAAGATAAAAGAGACTCATTATCTACTTTATGTCGTAATTAAAAGAAACTTGAGAAATTCCCCGAGTCGCGTAAATCTTTCCGAAGTGCATCGTCGAGAGTATGCATCAGGATGCATCAGGCCCTCTTTTGATCTCGCAAAAATAAAAGAGACACATTATCCATTTTAAATCTCTCGAATTTGAAAGAAACGCCAGATTTTCCCCGAGTCGCGTGAATCCTTCTGAAGTGCACCGTCGAAAGGATGCATCAGGATGCATCAGGCCCTCTTTTTACGGTGGGTCCGTTTAAGGGGGCTCTCATTTCACCCTAGGATCAGGGGGACTTACTCGTCTATCTCCTCGTCCTCCAGTAGCAGACTCATGGCGAGGTCGTTCGATTTCGATTTTTGGGGCGCGGTTTGGAACACCTGGGGGGCGATATCTACCCTCGGGTACCTACGGTCTCGCACTACCTCCCGGAAAGCGGATCGGGGAACGGGAGTCCAAATCGTGGGAACGAAGCGCCTCTTCTCCTCGGCGCATGCGCCGAGGAGCCCCCTCCACGTGCCTCCTGGTAAAGATTCCTTTTGGAGCAGGGTGAGCTCTAGCCCCTCGAGGCACCCTTCCTGAACCCACGGGGTGGCAACCGAGCCACGGGGGTGGCACGAGGCGACCTTGAAATTATGCACCACCACATATATTCCGGAATTAAACTTCACCTAGATGGCTCTATTCGTTCGCCATTTTTACAATTTTAAATATTTATTACGAAGAATTTTACCGAAGGGGTTATTTTTATCTAAATTTGTTCTACTTTCAAAATATAGAAATTAATTTAAGCGCCTGCGAGCGAGCTACCATCCGTGCAGCCAAGCCTGCATAAAGAGCACGCAGGGGCGCAGCAGTTCGAGCGCTCTTCGGGTAATCCGTTTGTTTTCCCTGTTTTTCCTTTTTTTTTTTTTTTTTCGGTTTCCGAGCATCGGGATTTTTCCGTTTGCCATAAAGCTCGGCTGGATAAGCTCTCTTTCCGGGTAAACGCGGCTGGGTGCTCCAGATTTCGCCAGGAAATTTAGTGGACGAGATGAAGGGTCGCTGAAGAATGTTTCCATGTTTATTGCTTTTTCATAATTAACGCAGGCGCCTGACTCGAGTATCCCCCTAATTTCTTTACTTTTACGGCCATTACTTATAGCAGCGCATAAGACATGAAATCGGAGAGGTCGACCTGAGACACCTTCCTTCTAAGAGATGCCGGATATGTTCATCGCGCAACCCTTTCGCGCAGCTCTAGAAGCGCATCCTGCATCCTGGCTCGGTATCGAGGTACCTCGTGGAACTGTCCGCAGATCAAGGGGGTCCTGTCCTCGTAGAGGACGCTTTCCAGGAGCTGGGTCTCTTCCATGAAGTACTTGCTGGCCGCCCCGGGCTCCAGAAGCATTATGGGGATGTTCAACACCCCATGGGTCATGCACATCGTCCGCAATTCCTGGACTGACTCGGCAAACTCCTCCCAAGGGAAGATCGTCGAAATGTCCAGGTTGGCCTCCCTTAACGCCGACCCCATCGCTTCGTGGTACTCCTTGAAGAGGGCCTCGGAGTGCTCCTCCCTTAACTTCCTCGTCGTGGTGAATTGCAGGAAACACATGATGTCGTGGGCAGAGGGGTTGTACCTGAACATGAAAACTACCACATGAAACGTGAAACGTCCTAATGTAGGGCCTGAAACTAATGAGATTTCATTTTTCATCGAAAATTCGAACGAATCGAAAATCGAACTTGCCTGGCGAGCTGGAAGTCGATAAGGCAGCATTCTATGGGTTTCCCGTGATCGTCGTACTTGAACAAGATATTGTTCGCCCATAGATCCCCATGACAAAGGACGTTCTTGTACTTGGACGAGGGCGAGAGCTTCTTCGCATGATCGCTGGCGAGGTCCTTGAGCTTCTCCTTGAATACCGTCCTGTCGTCGTGGTGCAGATCCAGGAGGAGGTCTATCATGGAGACGACGCCCTTGACGGCGGCGTCGAACGCCGATTTGGCTCTTCCGTCCTTCAAGGGCCAAAGGGTCTCCTGGACGCAGTCGGAGAAGGCCTCGATGATGCTCCTCTTGCCCTGCTCCTCGAAGATGAGGGACTTGGAGTGGAACTTGGCCAGGGTCTTCATCATCACCCGGCAATGGTCCAGGTCGAAAGGCACGAACTTGTCGGTCATCTGGTACCCGCGATGGGCCATGTCCTCCAGGACTATGACGTCGTCCTCGAGGCCTAGGAAGCACTCCGGGAAGCACTTCTCTTCCAGGTCGTAGTTAAGGACCTCGGGGAACACCGTCGTGTACAGAGCTACCTCCTTCTTGAAGGTGCCGTACTCTAAGAGGAACTCCCTCTGCGGGCTGCTGCTAGGAGGTGGGATTTTCGTGAAGAACCTCATCACCTGCGTGTCCAGGGGGGCACCTGGACACGCCACCGTGGCTCTTAACGTAAAGTACTGACCCATGAACCCGTTCACCTCGTCTATGGGGACGACCTCGAACGCGATCACCGAGAAGTCCTCCATCGACTCCTGGCGCAGCTTCTTCTTGATCACCTCGAAGCACTGCTGGTCTTCCAGGACCTTCCGCACCCGGGGATTCCTCATCGCTCCTGGAAGTTAGGGTGATGTGAAACCCCCCAGCCCTGTAACTTTGACGTATTCTAAAAAGACACTTTTTTTTTCATTTAAATTTATTATATTGGACAGAACTGTCAGACACGTTGACTTAATGGACTCTTTTAAATGATTAAGGTGAAGTGAAACCTCTCTCAAATCAGTCGATTACATTTTTACATTAAATACTTTTTTTTAAGGGTATTGGACGAAACTGTCCGAAACTGTGACACATGACTGATTTTCTTACTTATTGCTTACGCGGCAACAGGGCGAGTAACTCCATCTCAGGATCGAGATTCCTTTATAAGGCCCAATATTAAGTGTCATGTGATCTCGGAATAAATAGGGCTTGATCGTCTCGCGCTATTTCCTTCTTTATTGAGCCTGATTGCCGCTAATATTAGCCTCGCGCCTCGATTCAAGTGCACAATTGAGTTCGGCAAGACTTACTGCACGTGTGAGGAGTTACGATGCACGTGAATCAAAGAGGACGTTTTAACGAGCTCTAATCTGCCTTTTTGACCTCTGACAAGAGTTCTTTTCCCGCTCCGGAAGTTGCGATACGCGGAAGCGCGATTTAACGTCCTCTTCGTGAGTGAATTTTGCGGCTCCCTTAACTCTTTGGCTACTAAGAGCGCCCAACGTTTGGTCCAATATCGCCTGCACGGTCAGACCCATATATCGAAAAGGCTCCGTGTTCGAGGGATTAATTTGACATAATAAACAATGCGATTTTCCTGGGAGCTGGAGATCATGTTTGGTCTATCGTTGAACTCTTTCCCGATAGTGCTCCTTTTTCTAAAGCGAGATAAAAGAAATTCTATAGATCATCATTGGGCCGCTAGATACGGGAATTACGGAGCTTAATTATCGAGCAGTACCGAGGAGAGTTAAAATATCATATACTCGGGGAAATTTCGCACTTATTAAACACCCGAATGCTCCTATAAATACTTCGGTCTCGTGAGCGAGTCGACCTGGACTTTGTCAGCCATTAAAGCGTCGGGCATGATAGTTCCTATTTACTCTAAAGTGCATCCGATCGAGTACCCTCCGGATCATTCCACGATATCATTAAAATGTATATTAAGCCGCCTCGAGCATTATTCAGCAAAATTAAAATGGATAAACCGCGATTAAGGTGATGTGTGAAAGACGAACTTGATCGACGTCGGTAGAGAAGAAATTATAGCTTCTAAATACCTACACGTTTTTTATATTGATTTTAGGGATTTTCCTCCAATACGGACATGCACTTTGGGTGCATTTTCGTCTTTTCCCTCCGGCTGCACTCGTCGTCACCGGTTGATCTCGGTGCTGAGAAATGGAAACATCAGCAAGCGCCATTCCGTTTTTCTCTGCCCATAATCGATGTGTCATAGGTCAAGTCGATGAGATACCACTGGCAGTCTCTGGCGACCAGTTGACGCCGTGTCCTCCGACGCACCACCGGCGACCACCGGCGACCACCTCCCTCGAGGAGCTCCCAGTTGCATAATCCAAGGTGTGACTCCATCGGGCACCATCTTCGTCTTAGGTGAGCATTCCCTAGTAAAGTTGCCCTAGGCCCTGGGGAATCCCCCAGTCCCCCGAAGGCCAACCACGTCGACGCTGAAGGACGTCTCGACGTCCACCTTTAGCGACGCACTGGATAGCAACTACAGCGGAGAAATCATTCCTGGAGGAATGGATTTCGAGGAGGAGATTTCCTGTTTTGGACGTTCCGATAAGCCGAACTCGATACGACATCCGCATTCACGGGTGGATCTTCGATTCTAGGCCCTAGGGAATCCCCCAGGGGGGTTCTAGGGAGATTTCCCGTTCTGGACGTTCCGATAAGCCGAACTCGATACGACATCCGCATTCACGGGTGCAGTTCTTTTTTTAGAGCCCATTTAAATCCCCTCCGTGAGCACCAGGAGCTTTTTTCTTCATCTTATCGATGTAGTGGACCCCTCTGATACCAGAATTCGGTCTCAAATAAATTCCAGGAGTTTTCTGACGATTAGTGGAGACAGCTAGAAGGACTCGGAATTCCGCTGGGGTCGACTCGAGCGACATAACGACGCTTATCGCCTCTCGTTATGTGGTACACGAGCAGGGGGTGATATGCGAGCCGGCCGGTGATAACCGGGAATTCATCCAGAACGTTTGTCGTGTATTGATATGAGGAAACGTCACGCGATGCGGATCGAAGCTCCTTTTTTTTTTCCTGAAATTGAGGGCCTGTGAAATATTTTTCTTACTTTTTAGAGCGATACCTGCATAATGGCTCGGCCCACCACGAGGAGGCGCCACTCGGACCTGATTAGATTCGAGTCCGTCGCCAGGATTTCGAGTTTCCCTCTGGTCGAGAGCAGCATTCACATCGTCGGAAATGTCTACGACAGGATCAAGGTGAGGCCAAGAAGGGTGTTATCAGAGAATTAAGAGGATATGAAAGGCGCTAAGAAATTTCATCTATACCCTTTCTGGGGGGAAAAAAATAAAAAAGGGTATAGATGAGTTTGAATTAATCGCCCTAGATTAATTTTCTCACTGCCTTTAATATCATCTTAAGAATATAAAATTGAACTCGGCAGCGCTCGAATTCCTTGATGAGCTGGAGCCTCGAAACGGCGGAGCACTCTTTGACGATAGCGACTGCATCGGCGAGGCCAGCGATCTTTGCACTAAACGGCCCCATATCGACGATCGATATGCTGTTGTGTAGAGGAATAGATATCGTCGAGCAGAGAGTACCAGCGGTCCATCTTCCTCCGCAGCTTGTGAGTAGAAATCCTTGGCAGCCTCCTCGGTAGTTCTGGATGGGCCCCCGAAAGCCTGATTTCAATTCTTGATAAGATCTACTGGAACACCCGGGAGTACGTGAACAACAAGTTCGTAAGGCCGGTGCTGATAAGAGCCGGTAGCATGAAGCAGATCGGCAGCCAAGCCGCGAATGCAGCAGCGGATAGATTGGACGGTGCCCTGACCGTCGCCGATAAGTACGTCGATCGGTTCCTGCCGGCAGACCCTGCTGATAAGGCTGCGGAAGGTGAGAGGAATCCTTTTTTCTTTTAACCTGTTAACACATTCGCGACCGGCAAATCTTTTCCGCTTCAAATACTGAGTACCGGCGAAAACGATGAAATTCTGAAACTCGTTGCCGCAAACTTGTGTATCGTGTATCGTGTATCGTCATGGACACCCACATCCCCTCAAGAGGATGTTCCGTGATCTACTCATTTTTCACATTTTCGCTCAACTTGCTTTACGTAATAGACCCCCCGCTAGCCAGTTAATATATAGATAAGTGCTTAAAACGATTTTTCTTTGCTTCGGGGAATTCTTTCTCCCTTGGCGTGGAGGTGTATTAAACTCACCTGAACATTGTTCCGAGAGAAGTGTCCACGGATTCTAACCCAGGGGAGCCCGTCAGCAAGACCGCGCGCACGATCAAGCATGGCGCCCGATTTTCCCGGAAGTTGCAGAAGCGATTGACGCGCCGCACCCTGGCGGAGGCTCGAGCTTTGAAGGAACAAGGAACGGAGTGCATTCACGTGCTGCTGTACGTGGTGGAGCTGGTAAGTAATCCTTCGGCAAATGAATATTGTTAGGGACTCGATCGTCCTCGATCGATCCAATACCGTTATCCGTAGCGTTAATTTAGAATTAGATTTAGATTAGTTAACTACGCTAACGGTGCGACCCTTATGCAACCTGTTAGCTCCATGTTACGTAACCGTTAGGTTACGTTATGTTATTTGTTAGTTTTAAGTTACGTAGCTGTTAGGTTTGGTGTTCAGTGAGTTAATGATTAAAATTGGCCAGCTCGCGACAGACCCGAAGTTGGCCCTGAAGAAGGCCAAGGAGCTCTGGGCGACGTTGAGCCTCCCGGAGCCCGAGAATCAGGCTCGCCCTGCCACCCTGGAACAGTTGCTGGTCCTCCTGACAAGGGAATCTGCTCGTCGTCTCGTGCATCTCGTCAATGGAACCGCAGCATTGGCTGCGAGGACGCCTCGCCGTTTGGCAACCATTTTCGTCAACGTCTCGCACAGATTGCTGGCTCTTCTGGAAGCCACGATAAAGGTGATAACGAGATCTGCTCGTCATATTCCTTTCAAATTTCTTTATAGGTATTTTAAAAATAGTCGACTGATTTGAGGAAGGTTTCACTTCACCTTAAAGGGCTCGTTCAACTCTTTGCAGATAATTCCTGCGAATCGTGGACGGGATGCTGCATCTTCTCAGGTGTCCATGGTGCACGAGGCGATCGTCAGGCTGAGCGATACCACGAATTTGTTCTTGGTAGGTACTTCTTTGGGTTTATATCTCAGAAAAGAGGATTTGAAGACGCACAATTGATTGGTGACTGCGACTCCGCGGAACTGAATGTCTTCTTAAGATGATATGAAAGGCAAAGGGAAAACGTGCCCGGACCCCGCCATGTTGGTTCCAGTCCATAATAAATAAATCAATCAATTTTCATACATAGACCCGTGGTGTGATTTGGAACTAATCGGTACCTCCAATTCGGGGAATACTTTCCCCAACGATTTAACTTCTGAGATGTATATAGGCTGACTCTTTCATATCACCTTAATATCAGGAACAACTCGCAGCATTCCTGGCTGGTCGACCGGAGCCGCAGAAGATGAGCCAGAAGAGCCAGAAGAACCACAACAACCACATGGTGACATCGAGCCAACCCGTGAACGGCATCGAGTAATGGGGACCATAAGAAGGAGAGACGTCCAAGCCGTATCCGCAGCATCTCCTGGGTTTACTAAAAGCTCGACGTCTAATTGCGTATCGTACTTTATCATTAAGGTGAAGTGAAACACCTCGAGGAACTTGATCGACGTCGGTAAAAAAGATCTTCTTAAATGCCTACTTTTTTATATCGACAGCTGGATCGAATTATATTGGGTATTGTACCAAATGGTATACTCCATCTGTCGTTTTCCTACAATAATTATAAAGTGATCCAAGTAAAGCTCTAGAAGTCCTTAGGATTCGTGGTTTCCGAGGCCCTAATTGACTGCAGAGGGACCCCCTGCGCCATCTGTGATTACCAGGTCAACTAAACTTTCACTCCGATACCTTGCATTACCATCGTTTTGGCACAGAAGCGCAGAAGAGCCTTTTTTTGCCTTTATCCCGTTCAAATGCGAGTTCATCGATTACCAGAGTGTTCTAAATTGTCGTTAAATTGTCCTGATCCTTTCGTTTTTCATATTAGAGCCTTCAATAATTGTATATCGATCGAAATATCAGAGCTCGACGCCACTTTGGTTCTGGTCCGGGCTAAGTTAAGAAATTTTGTTAAAAAATCCAAATTTTCAATGAAAAAAAATCAAAGTTTTGGACAGTTTGGTACAATAACCTTAAATAAAAGTGTTTTATTCGAATCGACTGATTTGAAGACGGTTTCACTTCGCCTTAATTTCTAAAATAAGTCCCATCTGGCGCAATCTTCCTTGCTTATGCTCGTATCTTGCTTAGTACACGGTACATTGTATATGCATTGTAGTACATAATGTGCACTGTATCTCTTATCCTTTACAGACTCAAGGGGCAGTGACTTCGTGTAGGTGTAAGATAAAAATAAAGGGGATTGTTTCTATTTCTAATTAATAATCTCTCGCCCGACTTGGACTCCCCCTCGGGAAGATACCCGGGACCCGAATAAAAAAAAACAATATTGTTTAAATATTGCTTTTCTTATATATACATATTGGTCGTATAAGAAATCAATCAATCTCGAGGTTTCCATAAACCGTGATAACGATTATCGTTGGAATAAAATGCACGGACTTGATTCCATCTATCTGGACTTCGGTCTGAAATTCGAGATTAAACCGAGTCGACCTTCCTCTTCTTAGATTCTGTTTGCTCCGATTAATTACGGGCTGCGGGGATTATTCCAACTGAATCCTTTTTTTCTCTTATCAGTATCTCGTTTTAGGTCGTCCAACAATCTATGGGAGATATCCAGGACGTTAATCACTCTCTCCGAGTCTTCCATGTCTAGACCGACGACAGACGGAAAGTACAAAAAGCACCAGACGAGGCCAAAGCTCTGGTTAGAAGTTATCACTGAAAAGGACTGCTGATAAGGAGTCGCCCCCTGATTCAGACGGGGATTTTTGCTGACCGAGGAACGGCGTAAACAGCTCCTCCCGTGGGAAAATTTCAAACGAATCGGCACCCCCTCTATTCGGGAAATACTTTCCCCAACGATTTGACTTCTCAGATATATATACAGGCTGACTCTTTCATATCCTCTTAATGCGTTTTAATGCATCATCTCTGTTGTTAAACTTCCCATTAACGTTATCACCATAGAAGCGTTGTCCCATAGAAGATAATTCTATTTCTGGCGAGGTGGATTCAGAGATATTGCAAATATTTCATTCACTTTAATTAGTCCATCTAGTGTCTTATTAATGACGCCGTTTCTTTCTTCCCTATCAAGGGATCATTTGAAAATTATCAAAGAGGGTAATCTGACTTACGCCAATGTCCTGTGTCTAGGTATGGATGTAGAGGGATAGTCCTGTGATTTTTCTGGACTTTGGCCTTTGGACTTGTTTCCATGTGTGGACCTCTCATGCGGTTAGCTTATCGTCGTCTCGCCGCTGTGGATTTTATATTCTATGCCTGAATATGGAAATTATATTCATACCTCCCGAAATACCGGAAACTCGAAATTACAATAAGTATAATGGTAAAATCATTATTGCCATATATAGTATTCTATACCTGAATATGAGAAATAAAACTCATACCTGAAGCTGGAAATTACGTCGAGTCAAAAATAATGTTAAGTACATGTACATATGTACAAGGAGGTTCAAAATTATGCGTAAATGGTCTCCACAATATGGAAGAGACTTTCCATCGGTTATGGCCGAAGACCTCTCTGCGCATGCGCCGAGTGCGTTATTAGCCATGACAATTCAGGCTAGCTGCCACTCGGGTTAGAGCTGTGACCGCGAGCGCGTCGTCCGATAACAGAAGAGATCCGTCGACCTACCTCAATTTTTGGTAAGCTTATGAAATTAATTTAATAACTCGATTAAGAGATTTTCAAAGACCTGCTCTGAGATTTCGACATTAATTAAGCTTTATCGTTATGCTCCACAGATGCGCATTTACCTGGATTTCCAGTGACCGCACATTTGAATCAGGATTTATATTTTTTTTTGCTATATGAGCGAAAAAGGGAGATGGAGGCCGGCTATCTTGAATAGAAAGGAGCCAACGTCATAACGCCATTACGGCCCCTCGTCGAGTGCAAAACAGAAGTCAGTTACGAAAGTTAACAAGAAACAGGCAAATCTAAAAAGAAGAAGAAAAAAAAGAAGTCAGTAAAGAACCATTGAAACACTGGTACTGGGCCTACAGTAGAAGCCGAAATCCAAAAAGATACAATTCAATACAATATAAATCCTGCGTAATTCTTTCAGAGAATTTAGTTAATATAACAATATCGGGTAGGTTTCGGAATTTTACTAGGCATTCATTCGTCTTGGGTCTTTCTTCCGAGGTGGGATTTAGTGGTTCGGTAACTTCTAGGGCATCTAAAAAATGTAAACATGTGGATTTTCATGTCGCAGGTTATCGGACTCGAGTGTTATATGATTTGTATGGATTTTAGGACCATGGCGACTAATACGATGGGGCTGCCGCAGTTTCAAGCTTTCCAACGAGTCCTTGAACTTCCTTTCGTGGAAATGGCGCTTTCATTATCTGCTTCGACTTACTCGAAAGTGAAGGACTCGAATCAGCTGCTCCACTGGACACTCTCTACGGCGGAATCGTCTTTAACTTCTGCTACGAAACAAGCCATGCCCATTGCTGTTCCGATCGTGAAGAAACTCGAGGCTTACATTCATTTTGTAGACCATACTCTATGTCAGGGACTCGACAAGATCGAGGAGAAAGTGCCGATGGTGAAGGAGAAACCGGAGCTTGTGAGTAAAAGCGTGCACTGAGAAAAAGAAATTGATCCTGTGAAACGTTGTATCGATTCAAGGAACAATTGTCTTAGTTTAGTAAGAGAAAACAGCGACTCCGATTTATTGGAGTTCTTTCGAGGGGAATTATTGTTCCTCGAATTAATAAAATATTTCCTTGGAGGAATGTCTATTTCTCACCGTAGTTGTATTTTATTCTTCTGCACTTAGGCGACGAGTTTGTCGACTCTGGGTCCCTTTGTGCTCCTGACTCTCGATTTCTATTTTCAGATCTTGGAGAATGCCTTCGTTCTGGCTTTGCAGACTGTCGAGCCAGCAGTTTCTACAGTCTTGTATGCCAACGACCTCATCCAAGCAGAAGCGAGTTCCCTGAAAGACGTCAGTTGGAACAAAGTTAATGAAATGTTAGACACTCATTATGGTAGCGTGACTCTTCATGGAATTGATAGCACAGCAGTAATCGTCGACAAGCTGATCGATCAATATTTCCCAGCGATCCACGAAGAGTCCGAAGCAGGTTAGGGACTTGTTAATAATTTCTATGAACATCGTGAGGTCACCGACCACTTTTTATTATTTTCCTTCCTCGACAACGGAACCACTTCTCTCTCAATTAAGTGCATTGTGTGTCGAGTAACTGAGATAATTAATTATAGACTATTTATTCAGCTCCCGTCTCTGTTACGGAGGATAAATTGCTCAATGCTCTGCAAACTGTCGGTCGACTGTCCAATAAAGCTGCGAGGAGGGTTTACTCGACTGTCGTTTTACATCTGAGGACCCTGAAGGAGGACGACGTCAGGGAATACGTAGGCTACGTTGTGAGATTTCTTGGGATTACGAGTTATCTATTCATGGTCAACAAGACAGTCCAGGCATACACATCACCGAAGAAAGTATCGAATTAGAACTCTTAGTAGCATCATTTCAGTAGATGAAATCCATGGCGAATGTTCATTGAGTCGTACAACTATCAACAGAGCCATAATTTGATTATTAATTGTAATATCCAAGTTTCCTATGAAACGAGAGTTTAGTATCGGTATTTACAAGTCTCCTTGAATCTCGTGCTAGAGGCAGACGATCGCATCCGTTTGCAAAATAATTCCTAATCCTACATATATTCAATATCTCTAATTAAATCATAAGCTGCTGTGCAAGTAATTATGTAGGTTAGGGTGATAAGCGAGGTTAGCTCCACTGTTTCAGATAATAAGTGTAAGAGCATTTTGTAATTAATGAAAAAGAAATTTGCATGACCCTTTTACCTGCGTTTCCTTTCGTAATGTAAAAATAAAATTTATCTCGGGTATTAAGAGAATATGAAAGGCGCTAAGAAATTTAATCCACGTCGATAAAGTAAATTTCATAAGCTGGCGCGTCTCATTACCGACATTTATATTTATGTCTAAGTCTTTTACGATCTACGTTTAGAATTATACGAACTGAAGGGTTCCTAAAAAGCGTAAACATCGAAAACCGCTGTATTAATCCCAGTCCATGATAAGTAAATAAATTTCTGATGAAAAATGAAATTTCATTAGTTTCAGGACCTACTTTAGCGTCTGCATATTCCCGTGGGAAAATTTCAAATGAATCGGCACCCCCAATTCGGGGAATACCTTCCCCCAACGATTTGACTTCTCAGATGTTAATTTCGAGTTTTCCATATTTCAGGTATGAATTTTAATTTCCATATCAAGGGATAGAATATAAAATAAGACCAAAATGATTTTAGCATCAAGAAACCTGGTAGAGTTTCGAGCCAAATACATTTGAGCAAGAAATTCGTAGTTATATACAGGCTGGCTCTTTCATTAAGTTTCGGAGCACTTTGGAATAAATTCGTTACATCATTCCTTATCGGTTATAGGCGCTTATCAGCTGATTCAGGGACATATCGGAAGGATTGGAAGTTGGACTTTGGACGACGCGTCCACCGGTTTGTCATGATATCCTGAAGTGACTTGGCGTATATGTTTTTTACGCTGCACTCCATTCTCATCCGATGATTCGTCACTTGCACGATGGTAACGATGATTCGAGAATCGTCGGATTCCATGGGTAATGGGTCCGCACCGAGTGACCCCCACGTCGTCTTCGACGGTTGCGCAATCGTGGACCTCAGGGTCGTGCTGCTCCTCACGTAGACCCTGCATACGAAATGCACCACCTACCAACAGATCCCAAAAGGCACTTTGTTGTCCAGGATTAATATTAATTTAATCTTAACATCTTTTATTAAAACCTAAATTACCTATATTAAATGTATATGTATATTTTGTACAACTTTCTTTGGACCTTACGGTCATTTATGAACAAACAACATTTTATACGCAGTGTAACATAGAACTGTTAACGACATGATGTCCTCGATGCATTGCTCATCGAGGGAAATATTTCTGTAAGTGGTTAAAGAAATGTTATACCTAAAGGAAATAATTTTATAAGGCGATTTAGATTGTTACACTCCTGGAGTCCGTTCCCCTTCCCGAGGAACATTGTAGAGTGCCTACAAGGCTCAGGGCAGCAAATAAACCGGCAGTGTAGCTGGATCCATCGTGGGACGTTTCTCGGCATAATTTTTATCTCATTCTGCAATTCAGAACGCAAATTGTAAGTAAATCGACACCGGCGCGTAATAATTCCCACTTCCACGCACAAAGTTGAAACTAAAAGGAATCGAAGCAAATTAAAATTAGAACAATAACAAAGTTGCTCCTAAGTCATCGACAAGTATCCTGGCAATTGAAGTGGAAAGTTTAGGATAATGAGATAGTCAAAAAAAGATATGTAAAAACCTGACCTTGCGAAACGTTGAGTATACGTTAACTGACGTTTTACTTTAACTGAAGATTATTGCGCAATTAATATTTCTCCAGTTATTTCAGTATGTACTCTCGGTACATGGGATGTGTCCAACAGGGTTCGTAACTCAATTCCTGAAAGGAAATTAATCTTCGATGAAAAATGGTGGTCTGCGGTGCACCGTACAAAAATTCAGGGTCGTGTAATTCCATCTTATGGCAGGTCTTCTCATACAGGGTGTCAGAAAAATTATTAATAAATTCTCTGATACGATGTACCAACGATGTAACACTTATTCGACGTTGAATAACATTGATTATTCTATATTTATAATTATCGATACATCGGATGACCTCATCTCTTTTTCTTATGCTTGTAGATGCTTATTAATAAATTGTCGACTATCGGGGACACACTCGTACACTGGAGATAACATAATTTTTTGTAACCACTGGTTTCAGGGGATAACACAGGACTTGGTAACATCCTTCAGTGCCCAGACGTCGTACCTTCAGGTAAAATTATTATTGCAATCTTTTATTAACTTTATGCGATGGCTTGAACCTGTAATGATTACTCACAATGATTTGCAGGAATAATGGACTCCACCCCCGTTGGGAATTCTCAAACAGCCATACAAGACGCTGGTCCGAAGCTGGAAGTACTGGACCGGGTACGAAATATTCCGGTGATACAATCAGCCATTGAAAAGACAGGATCGACTTATTCTTATCTCAAGGATTCTCATCATTTAATCAATTGGGCCCTGAGTTATGCCGAGTCGGGCTTACACTACGCAACGTCAACTGCTGCACCGATAACTGCACCGTTAGCTAAAAAGTTTGAGGATCAGATTAATAAAGTGGATACCAAGTTATGCGAGGGGCTCGACATTGTGGAACAGAAGGTCCCCATGGTCAAACAACCACCGCAGGAGGTAATAAATCATATCCTGATTAATTGTTATCTTTCTAACAAATACTCTAGGTTCTTTCGCATTTGCTTAAATGTATAAATATGATTGTAATTCTTTTTTTTCTTAACTAGCTCTCGTTAGATCTCTGTACGATATTGTTTATGTGTTTGTTTGCAGATTTACGATGCAGCGAAAGCAGTGATGAGCAGTTCTTTGCATCCTACAGTGGAGAAACTGATTTCCATAAAGGAATCGGCCACTCAACAAGCATCCACGTTGAAGGACGTCAGTATTACGAAGGCTAATGAAATTTTAAACACTCATTACGGATCGATGACTGTTCAGGGTGTCGATAACACGAGTGTTCTGATTAATCGTCTCCTGGATCACTATTTCCCACCCGTGGAAGGTGAAACGACTCCGCCAGGTAATTTAATATGTAGATTTATTACTCGTCCTGTCCATAATCGGATATTTGAAAAGTAATTCATTCCTGTCTCAGCTCCAATATCTGCCGATGAGAATAAAGTTCTGCATGCGGTCCAGACAATTGGCCAATTGTCAACGAAAACTGCCAATCGGGTCTACCATTCCGTGGCTGCACAATTGAAAACTGTGAAGAAAGAAGACGTGGCTACATATATTTCCAGCGTGGTGTCAATTCTACACTTGACGCATTTCTTGAATCTTGGACAGAAGGAAGTCACCGATGGCAGCTCCAGCACTGATACTGAAAAGGACGAGAAAAAAAAGTGAATTGATGTCAAAATCTGAATAATCCAGATTTGGATTCAATTATTTTAAGGTTATCGATTCCCTAGTAGAAAACGCTGTTTAATTCAAATATGAGATACTATTTACTTTGAACTTGTACAAAGCGTTCGATACATGTTAAACTATATTTGTACGAGTTTACAGCTGAGCTGAACTTTTGTAACGTTTGTATTTACATATATTTACACTGTTTAAGCGTAAGGAGAATTTTGCTACTAAGGTGTGTTGAAAGGAAAGAAAAGAAATAGAGAACTGTCTATTTAAGAATTTAAAGAGAACGTTTTGATTTTTTTCTTGAATTTTTAATATCTTGCTTCGTCTGTATTTTTGTCGGGTGATATATTTAGTATAATTTTTTTTTTGATTGGTGAAAAGTTAATCACTCGCGGTCTTTGTTATCGACATGGCGTGTGTTGAAGTTACAGGAATCGCCACCGAGGGCATCACAGTACGCGTCAGTTCGTGTTCACCGACGACGCTGTTTTATCGCAGCTGGGCCTAACCTCGTAATTCTAATATTGGCAGTCTTCGGAACACTTAAGAAATTATTGCGAGGTGAAATACGCGCTTGAGAGCCGTTACCACCTAACCTCGAAATCCTGGACATTGTAGAGGTTATTCAGAAGACGTTCCAGGAGAAAATAAACAGACCGCCGTCACCTAACCTCGAAATGATGGATCCGAAGAAGAGAGGACGATAGATAGTGATGGGACTGATACGATACTTATTGATAATATTACAATAATTCAATCCTCTGGTATTTATTTCGTGGTATCGGAAATATATAAAATATGAGATACTTGCCATCGATATTTGATACTTTCGTCTTTATGTACATTTTTAAGATATTGATATTTTACTGTTAGGAATCGAAACTGATCGCGAGTTATTATTTCCATCACTAACGATAAATGACCTGACATTAAGTGGCATTTATTACGGAGATTAAGATGGACGAGGACAGAGTGGCTGTGATTTATTTGACGACGGATACAAAGTTGCTAAATGTCGCCTTCGCTGCGGGCTGGACCACCGAGGATCTCTGTATCAAGGTGAGAGTTTGTCTCGATTATCGCGTATTCAGGTTAGTCAATTTTGAGAGGGATGCATGATTTTTCTTTTAATCTAGGTGTGCAAGCAGATCGGTATCGGTCCTGTGGCCAGACACTTGTTCGCCTTGAGGAATCGGTCTACGAGGCTTTGGTATCCTGCGGGACATAGATTGGAGGGGAAAGATAAACCCAAGTTTGATTTCCGCCTTAGATTTAAACCCTCCAGCTTAAAAAGACTGAAGGTAATCGACGCAAAGGCTTACGATTACTACTTTCAACAGGCACGAGCTGATGTATTAGACAATAAAGTACCGGACATCGTTTATGAAAGACATAAGAGAGAACTCATAGGCCTAGGTGTTAGCGATATGTATAGGTAAATGAGAATTACTTTTATTATTAGTACTCGTATAATTTGTAAATAGTTACAACTCGGGAATGGTGTTTCAGGGTCATGCTTGAGAAGGACATTCCACGAGAGATCGTTGAATCTGATTACAAAAAGTATATTCCCAAGGAATGTATTAAACGTCACTCGTTCTTCATCAAAAAGCCTATTCATAATGCTTTGGCCCGAATTTCTGGTCATGATGCCTCATATGTAAAAGAACAGTATTTAAATCAGTTCGAATGTATGGCTCCTAATTATCCTTGCGAAGAGTACAAGGCATTAATGGACAGAGGAATACCTAACCCTCCTTCTAGAGTCTTGTTACGAGTAAATGCCTCGGAAGTAAAATACTGCGAAGCGGAAAGTAACGACTGGCACACCTTATGTGCTATCGAAGACCTGTGCTTCGTTTCTATCAGGTATTAATGAATTTTTGGAATTTCTTGGCAGTTTTGCTTAAATAAAAATTTTGTTACTCTGTTTTATTTGCCTTTAAGACAAGACAGTACCGTCGAAGTGTCAAGGAAAAATGGAATACCATCTTATCTGAAGTTCGGAACAATTTCTCTTCTGATGTCTTTTGTGTCTGCCCTCGATGGATATTATCGGCTCGCAGTGAAGTGGACATTCAATCTCTGTAGAGACGCCATTACGCCAAGTTTGGAAAAAATGCACAAATTAAAATGCCACGGACCTGTTGGGTAAATATCTTAGATATCCAGTTCATGGGGTTAAAAAGAAGAAAAAAAAAAAGTGTAACTTGGTAATCGTTCTTCAGTGGAGAATTCTCGTATGCGAAACTTGAAGAGAAACGTTCGAATCGTCCAGGGACCTTCATTCTCCGTGAAAGTGAAACCAAGTACAATGTTTTTTACCTGGATGTGTGTGGAAAAGATGGGAAACCACGAACAAGGAAAATAGAGCAGCTCGGAACTGATGACTTTATTTTGTCAGACTGCGTACAGAGGTATAGATCACTTGGTCAGTTAGTTGCGTCTCATCAAGACCCGGAGAGTCAACTTTACCTTAAGGAATGCTTGCCACCGTCGGAGTATGGTATGCATGAAAGGATATAAATTCCCTGAAAGGCAGATACCCATTTTACTTGAATCATTTCTTCATCTTTTGTAATCTTTGCTGAAAGATAAGTCACCGTTGCTGATCTGTGCTGCGGAAGGGGTTGGAAATGATGTGGCAGCCGACGAAGAGATAATCTCAGCTTTACTAGAAGGTGGACCTCGTTGTATACCTCCTCATCAGTTACAAGTTTACAAGGCTCAGCCTTTCCCAAAAAGTGACGACAGACCAGATACTAGAATACCACCGACAACCATTTACAGAGCTATGTGGCGAGTAGCGAAAGGGAAGAAGTTGGAAGCTGCGATCAAGGTGCTCAAAGAAGAAGAGTGGAGGTTTACAAGGGAGTTTTTAGAGCTCGCTGGGAAATGGGGACAGCTGCGATCAGGTGCTTTGATCAGGTACGAAAATTGACGCGATTAATCCCTAATTGTGTTTCACATAAGAATTAATTCCATTTCTTGACTCAGGTTATACGGCTTGACGGTTGCCCCTGCTGTTGGCATGCTCCTAGAATTAGTTAGGTTAGGTCCCTTAGACGTATACCTTCGTAACATGTTACCTCAAACTGTGAAAACCGTTGACATGGTAGAAGCTGCAGCTTGCCTTGCAACTGCCCTTTGGCATCTGGTGAGTACTCTTTGCTTCGATCACTTTTAACTAGGAAATTGTTCAAAATTGAACGAAAAGAAATGTATATATATCAGTGTTTATTTATCTAATTAATTTTTATTACGTGGTAGGAAGAGAGCGGAGTGGTCCATGGGAACATTAGATGCAGGAAGCTGCTTGTGCATGGCCATACGGACAACAGTTTTGTCGTCAAACTGGCAGACCCGGGTCTCTTTAGCTACACACAAGCCGAGTGAGCGTAGCTTCAATTGCCTACACCAGGTGTATGGTCACTCAGGGTAGTAACAAACGGTTTCTCGTGCAAACAGCATCCACTGGCTCCCCCCGGAGTGCTATGGGAATCCGGAGATTGCCAGGAGAAGCTCCCAGGCGGACGTATGGGCTCTCGCGACGACGTTCTGGCAGATCTTCTCCAGAGGTGCGGCCTTGCCCATACATCACGACATCGACTCGGTGAAAAAGGTAACTGGGACGTCGCTTAAGACTTCTCAGATATATACATATAGGCTGACTCTTTCATATCCTCTTAATGACTTGAATTACACCAGAGTGTCTTCAGAGGAGTGTAATTAATTTTCATTATAACTCAATAAACGTTTTTCAGTACTATGCCAGCGGTAAGCGTCTACCTATGCCGAGCGGATGTCCATCCGAGGTGTACAAATTGATGAGCGAGTGCTGGGGCGAAGCAGGAGGTCCTAGGAAACAACCCCAGGCTATAATGCGAGACATCAACCAGATCTTGTATCAGGTGTACAATTCCAGGAGGACGCACGCCTACGCCACGGCGTTCCCGAAGCTGTTCAACGAGTCCGAGAGGATCGAGGACGACGAAAAGGACAATAGCTCCTCCGATTGCGAGTCTCGGGCCAGCAGTATTTTCACCGATCGCACTAGCCTGCCCTGGGACGACGGTGAGGATGGCGATGACGGTGGGTTTGAGTAATCTTAGCTGTGCATACATTAAGGTGAAGAGAAACCCCCTTCAAATCAGTCAATTCGAATACAACACTTTTTATTAAGGATATTAGACCAAACTGTCCGAGACATTGACACATCACTCCTGATCACCTAAGAATTGTCCTGACAGATTCAAAATTTGGATTTTTGGTAACAAATTTTTAACAACCCGGACCAGAACCAAAATGACGTCGAGCTCTCATACTTCGATCAATATACAATTATCGAAGGCTCTGATATGAGAAACAATAAGGGTCAGGACAATTTTATGACAATTTAGAACACTCTGGTAATCGATAAACTCGCATTTGAATGAGATTTGAAACTGTCGTACAATTGTCCTGACCCTTTCGTTTCTCTTATCAGGGCCTTCAATAATTGTATATGGAGCGAAATATCAGAGTTAAGAAATTTTCTTAATTAACGAAAGGGAATCATTACTAGGCGGTGATCCAGGCGTCGGAAGTCTGGGGGAATCCTACCAGGATGCCGAAGAGGAGTTATCCGCCTACCTTGGGTGGCTTGCCGAAGCTGGAACTGGAGAAGGTGGACCTCTTGGCCAGATGCAAGCGATCTTCGAACTGGATGCCGATTGCAATGTCATTCTTCAGGGTAGAATCGGCCAGGGATTTTATGGGGAGGTCTATCGGGGCACCCTGGAGCGAGATAATAATAAAGACGCCGAGCCACAACAGGTCGCGGTAAAGAAGCTGAAGACCCGCGCCTTGGAGGCTGATTTAAGGGACTTTGAAAGAGAAATAGCGATCATGAAGGTACGCCTCTTCCTGTTTGATAAGAACTACTTGTATGATCCTTGTCTCATCGAGAGTATCCGGCTTTTTCAGACCCTGAAGCATCCTAACGTCGTCGAGATCCTGGGCGTCATTTCGGAGCCGGAGGTCTGCCTAGTCATGGAGTTCGTAAAGCATGGGTCGTTGCAGAGCTACCTCGCCATCCACAGAGAGGCTTTGACCCACAAAAGGTTGCTTGGATTCGCCCTGGACATTGCCACCGGCATGGAGTATCTTGGTAGGAAGTGCATCGTCCACAGGGATCTGGCTGCGAGGAACATCCTGGTCGCCGATGAGAATAGAGTAAAGATCAGCGACTTTGGCCTAGCTCAGGTTACGGGGAAGAATGATTACTATATCCTGCAGACCAACAGGGATCTTCCTATTAAGTGGTGAGTTTTTTAAATGGCATATATAGGTCCGATTCTTTTATCTTCATTTTTTTTTTGTTGATAACTTATTTCAGGTACGCACCTGAGAGCCTGCGAGATGGCAAGTTCTCTCCCAGGTCTGATGTGTGGTCCTTCGGAGTGACAATGTATGAGACGTTTGGTCTCGGAGAGGATCCAAAGCTTCCTGGCGTAGGCAATTCCAATATCCTCGGTGATGGCAATGCCAACGGAGTAGAAAGCGAGGAAGGCACCGGGGAACTTCTGGCAGCTTTGGAAAGAGGTGCACGGCTTCCTTGTCCACCTACGTGTCCCCAAGCAGTGTATGTCAAGCTTATGTATCCCTGTTGGCACCTGGACAGCCATCGGAGACCTAATTTTTCAACGCTCTGCAAGGACATCGCCGATCTCATGACTCAGTACTAAGTCTGGAGTGAATTTGACGACTAGATGGATTTTTAATAATTAAGGACGAAGGGACGACGACGTGGAAGGTTCTGTTCCGGACAAGTTCGAGAGACTCGCAAGTAGGTACTTGTGTTTGCTGTTAGAGACTTGAAATTATAGGTTAGGATGCGGTGGGGATATTTTGATGGAATTGGTGAGACTAAGTGGCCTGGTCTTGTATATAAAATTATGTTTAAGTCGACTTTTCTTATTTGTATGATATAACGTTTTGTATTTCAACAAAATCTATCACAAAGGAATAACCCCAACGTATCCGACGAGGGGAATACTCTCCGTTAATGCTCATTTTCTTAACGGTGATGACGTCTTTTTTTTTCTAATCTTGTGTAAATACGCTAAAATTGATTTAAACTTAGGTAATACGAGAAATCGAGTAGATTGTTTAGACGATTTATTGTCATATTTATACGTGTAAGATGAAAATGTGATTATCCTAAAATGGATTACTGCCGTTACGAATCTTTATTTATTTTAATGGTTATCGTCATGGCATGATCCTTGGAAGCCAAATCTTGGCGAAAGAGCTGGGCATGTTGCCAGGCAAGGTCTCCATGTCCACCAGAGAGGGTGGCTGTCAAAATAATTTTATCAACTTTGTGCTCCGACTCTGTAAACCGGAGGACCGTCGAATCATTGATAGAGAGGGCATTAAGTTGTTTATCCCCGATATATAATTCAAGAGTCCACTTGATCATCGCGTTCTCGTTAAAAGTTGCAGTTACGGCTTTCAATTCAATAGAATTTATACTCGCGATCCAATCCGTTGTTAAAATGGTCCATTTAATTGTGCCGACGTCGACTCCTGGTGAACGAGATAAATATGCCATTCTCCAATCCTCCTCCACTTTCCGATGCACTCCACTGTACATATCGGTACCTTCCAGTGCTCCGGTTCGACGATCGAGTAATGTTCCATTATTTACACTTACTTCGTAAGTATCACTCGGAGTACTATAAGTTAACCTAAAAGTATCGGCTTCTACTGGAATGACCCATTGGTGGGATTCGTGCTTCTTCTCCTGGACCTTTAGTGATAACAGGAAATTTGGATTTTATTCAGAACCAGAGTCCAGCTTGATATCTCTACCGATGTAAATTATTTACGTAGAAGGACTGAAAGATTTAATATTCACCTCTCCACGAGCTAACCTCCAAGCTAAAGATCCGGATGTTCTGCCTTCGAATTCTTCGTCTTCTCCTGGAAACGGTTTCACTTTTCCAGGAGGCGGTGGTAACATCTCCACCAGTTCCATGAGACTTCGCTTCGTAACAAATTTCCTTCGGGCTGCACTGTATCCGGGACTGTTTTGCCTTTCTTCGTTGAGACGTCTTATCAGTCCGATTAAATTATTCTCGGAGCAAAGATTTCTACGTTTCAAAATTGACGATGGATCTCTTGTATATCTCCAAGTGACATCCTGAACCTCATCTTGAGAACAAGCTATCACGTAGGTCAGCTTTTTTCCCCATCCTCTTTCGTACATCAACGGACGGTTAAGGACATTTTCACAGGGATCGGCATGAATCCACTTTCCTGCGGAGACTGACCAGACCTGCGATAATTCCTGTCCCGCTAAGTATTGTTTTGGTGTTGCCACTTATGCCTTGTGTTACGCATATTAATGTTCAAAGGTTTTAGTAAAGCAAATTAAGCAAACCTCTGTCCAGACGTGATCAGTCTCATCGTAAACCAGTCTTACATCGTATCCTAGAGAACGGCAAATTAAAGAAAACGTATTGGCCCATTCTCCACAACGACCACGTCGGTGCTTTAATAATGGAGCTGGATCCGTGTAACGTGGGAATTCCACCTCCAATCCACAGGCGTTGCATCTAATAAATAATGAGACATTTTTTTTTACTCACTGGGAAATCTGTCGGAATGTTGTAATTATGTGACCGTTACTTATGTATCTCTATTCTGGAAACGTCTCGACGAGACGATTTGACCACCCTGTCAAAATTACATTTACTTAAACATTTGTTACACGGGGGACTGTCGACCCACGTAAAGAAATCCTCCTTAAACCAATGCAGTAATTCGACAAAAATTAAATCGTCTAGTGTTATTTCTTCCCAGTTTCCGTGCTGAATTCCATTGGTACTCGATTTAATTTCCCTGGAAACAGCGAGGATGATTAGAAATTAACGGTGAATATAAAAAAGTAACCTGTAATACCTTTGGAACAGCCTCAGTTTATTTATTGCTTTTAATGTCAACTCCGTCAAGGGTACTAGAGATCTTGCCTCCTTTTGCAACGATAGGTTATCGTATTTTAGTACATCTCGGAAGTATCCCTGGATTCGTTGAATAAATTTATGTTCCTGAACGTTGAGCAGCATTTTGGGTACTGCACCACGATCAGTAGTGGGTGGCAGTACATTCTCTGTGTCGGGTGTATTTTTAATATCCTCTGGCTTATTCGATACGTTGGGGGTAGATAGAAGGCGGCATAGCTCTTCGACTTTAGACAGCGTTGCATTCGGTGGAAGTAATAGATGGTCATCTTTCTGATTAATCAAGAATATATTGGAATCACCGTCGGTAAGAATCGTAAGCGTTAATGCAAAAAGTGATTTACTCACTTCTACGAATCCAACTTCGAACAGACACTCCATAGCTCCGGCCGCTGGAAGCAGCTTCTCGCTGATGGTAACATTGTTTAAACGTACTCTACGGTACTTTTCTATGGTAGGATTTTTTACTATATTCTCGCAGAGAGTAATTAGAACTTTCTTTGCACCTTCAAGGATGCTCCTATCATTTTCATTCAGCGCCGCCACGTAGCATTGTAAACTCGACATGACCTGCATAAGGAAACCAAATTTGAACCCACTCCGAAACCATTAATTTAATAATCATCTCGGTGCCTACCTCTCGGAAACAACAATTGGAAGGCGGAAACCTACTTTTTCTTTTCTTTTCTTTTTCCAACTTTTTATATTATCCTCACACGTGGTTTCCCGAATAATGCCTTAAACTCGCTTAATTAAAACCAGGGATTAGTAAGTAAAATACCCTAGGTAATTTACGTAGTTTCTTTTTTACAGTAATTTACTAGGTACTATACTTAACAAATTTCATACGTCAGGTAAATTACATGAATACGACACTTTACGTCTCTGCAGTTCTTATTCCTGGTACGCTTAAAATGGAAAATTATCCATGGAATGTGAAGCCTAGATCTTTTTAATGCTCGCTCCAATTTGCCATTATTCTTTGTTCCTTTCTTTCTTTTTTTTCTTCCACTAAAATGTTTATTCACAAGTCAGGTATACCTTGGCCGTTTTGAAAAAGTGAGGTTACAGTACCGCCATCTTCGTCCTGGAATTTATCAGGTTATTTTACTTGGATTTTACGTGAAATACTACCCTTAGGTACTTCACGTAAAAAAACTGCGAATGACGAGTCACTGCCCAACCCTGATTAAAACTAGCCATTCACTTCACAATATATAGATTACCGACAGGTGTCAGCTTAAAGAGACTTCTATTATCATGACTAAACACATTAAAGTCCATTTTTCATTTATTCTGCCTGCTACTACCAGTGATCTAACGGTATCAAAGAATGTCCATGTTCATTGTTATTGGATCGGTTTATTATTTTTCGTAGGTAACGGAGTAGCTATAAGTGGATTGGTTTCTGGAGAGTGACGCTAGATGGTGGTGGCGCGTCGGTCGGCGCGGAGCGGACGCTCCTGCGACTCTCGTCGCTCGGCAGTTCGTGCGCGTCCCCTCTAGAGGTTGGTCGCTAGTCTGCGACGGTTTTGGGGTTAGGTTTGATTAGGATTGAAAATGGCCGCCGAGGGCAACGACGACTTGCCGATCTCGCCCTCCGAGAAGTCGATCACCGGGAGTGTTCTCTCCGACGATAATGAGAAAAGTGTTTCGCGCTCGCCTTCTAGTTACTCTATACGCGAGGACCGGTGGCCTGACCTTGTCGTCTCGAGGCCGAGGAAGCTGGATGCCTGGTGGTTGCCGAGGCGTGAGTACGAGATACGTGCATGATGTTTTCCTCGAGCTTTAAACACCCGCCAAATTCAAATCGCCCACCCGTTGACGTGCGTTTCCACGTAGAGGCGATTCTCAACTCTCTGGCGTCCCCGGTGATTGTAGAGCGTTTATTACGTAGTTTTGACGAGAGCGCTCACTTCTCGCACTTTCATCTCACGTAGATTTCGACGAATTACGTATTCGCTATATGAAAGAACGAGATCACTAGCATTTCCAGTCTAGTGGTATTGTTAAATAAAAGTAGATACCTTGTAAATCGAAAACTGTGAGAGGTAGTGTGTATAGGCAGGAAAGGCGGGATGATGAAAAGCAGTTAAAAGTAAAGAAGAGGATTCGAGTCTATGCTTCACCATTTCGCTTAAAAATTTGTGTCCTACTCATTTTTCACATTTTCGCTCAATTTGCTTTACGTAATAGATCCACAGGTGGCAACGTTACGGTTTCAGTGATAACCCTCGTGGGTGAGGTTAGGTAAGTGAAATACTCGAAGTAATTATGTAGCCTTCTTTACTGTAAATTACTAGGTATTTTAGGTAAGTTTAGGTTAATTATTCTAGGTAAGGAATTTTCTACACCGTGTGATAATCTCCAAGTTTATTATAAACTAAGTATTAATACTGCGAGATTTAGTGCAGTAAGCATTGGAAGGAGTGACTTGATATTCATTAAATTCCATTCCGCAGATGATTTATGAATCGCCATCCTTATTTTTGTGTACGGTTACATCTTTTTCCTGATTCTGGTGATACGTTAAACGTTAACGATAAGGCAATAATTTATTGATCTTTGTTATTATTTAGAATGTCTCGGGATATTATACGAAGGGTCATTACTTTCCAAATGGATAACCGTCTAGTCAAGTTCTGGTGATAACTGGCGATAACTTTATCTCATTAAGTAGCGTTTAATTTCCATTATGATTTATTAACGACTAAGCCAGGCCAAATGCTTTGCATCCAACTCGTTTAATCACATGATGTCATTACTGTAGATTAATCTCAAAAGTGGTTTAATGTTTTGTACCAAAACATTTGGTTCCTTGGGTCGAGAATTCCCTTATCACTTTTTGGCAAGCACGAGGTTATCATCGAGTTAAATTTGGGAAACGATCCAGCCATTCTGCGGAAATCCCATGCGACTATTGTATCGACAAGAATTATTAACAATTATCTCCTGTTTATTTATCGGTAGCTTTATACAATTAGACTTATCTATAACTAATCCTTCCTTAGATTCCACATGTATGTATATTTATCCCTAATTTAATTTTATCATTAATCAAACCCAGGATTAATAAATTACTAACAATTATCCCCTGTTTATTTATCGATAGCATTATATAATTAGACTTATCTATAAATAATCCTCCCTTCGACTCCACCTGTATTTTAACNTTAAATTTGGGAAACGATCCAGCCATTCTGCGGAAATCCCATGCGACTATTGTATCGACAAGAATTATTAACAATTATCTCCTGTTTATTTATCGATAGCATTATATAATTAGACTTATCTATAAATAATCCTCCCTTCGACTCCACCTGTATTTTAACCGCAATTATTTATCAATTCTAAAATTAATCAATGAATGTGGCGTCTAAACACCGCAATTATTTATTAATTCTAAAATTAATCGGCAGGTCTTGTGTGGTTTTTTTTTCCCCTGTGAGCTTTTATCATTTTTGTCTGGCCCGTTATCACCCGAGGGCGGGTTCTGTTTTACCATGCCGTCCTGGGAGTGGTGACGTTCCCCGGGTCTTATCGATTATCCTAGGTGGAGGCAACGTCGGGGGGGGGGGGGGGGGGAGGAGGAGGAGGAGGAGGATCAATACCCTGGGCAGTCCGTCGTCCATTTTCGCCGAGAGATTTTCCTCGAGGTGACGCGTCTCTCTCCAGGACATTCCCGGAGGAAATCGTCAGAACGAGCCGCGCCTTCCTCCGGATAAGTTGTCGTCGAGCTCGGAGAGGACGATGCCTCCTCCGCGGGCATCCTGGACCTGACTTCCAGGGAGTCTTCTCGGATCTTGCGATTCCCCACCTCCGTTGGCAGAGACGACGTCGAACTCCTGACGAGGCACGAGGAATCCAGGCATTTTGTCAGGAATAAGCGGTAATCGTCGAAGAAGACCCCCCAGGGGTTTAATTTAACTCGAGGGGTGCGGAGGAAGAAGATACCGTTGCGACTCCACCTGGAAATTGTGCAGGACGATAGAAGCCGAGGAGGGGACCTGGTGAAGTTGCACCTCCACCTGGAAATTGTCCAGGACCATAGAAACCCAGGAGAGGGTTTCCGAGGGAACGACGTATCGATTAGGGTCGAAGACGTCGCCATTTTGGTACGAAAGGGGTGCTAGAAGTCGGGATCGGGAGGTGTCCTCCTCAAGGTCAGGGAATCGATCCAGAAGAGGAGGTCCTATGCGTCAGGAGTCCCAGGCCGGCTTGAAGCTGAGGCCCCCCCCGGGAGACCACCACCACGGAGGGGTCATGATCGAGCAGGACATGGCCGGTGCCCAGGACACCATTTACCTGTGCAACTTCAGAGTATCCGTAGACGGGGAGTGGCTTTGCCTGAAGGAGCTCCAGGACGTCGAGTTCTCCATGCAGGACTCAATCCAACGATCGCCGACCCCACCGCTTGCTCTGAGCGGTATACCACGTCCTGACAATCAGCTTTGCGATCCTCTGACGCCAAGCCCGCCGCCGTTGCACCACGTCTCGAGCTTGTGTTCGTATCGTTTGCGTAGATGATCCCCTGCGAGGGATTCGGGGATTTTAAGAGGTTATCGAAGGCGCTGGGAAATTTAATCGACGTCGATAAAGGAACCCTTCCGAGTACCCTTTCTGGGGGGGGGGGGGGGCATACAGGTAGGCTGGCATTTATATTCACGTCGAAGTCATTTACGGTCTACGTTGAGAATTATACAAAACAAAGGGTGCAATTTAGTACAATGCCCATTATAATTCGACGCAGCTTTCGATATAAAAACGTAGGTATTAAGAAAAATCTTCTTTATCGACGTCGATCGAGTTCCTCGTACCTTAGGGTGGATCCTCTCGTCCACGGCCACTTTCCGATTATTTCTGCACTCCGGGAAACGCGAAGAAAAATCCTTGCCACTCGCTTCGTCTATCGCGTTATCGCTTTATCACGCTGAACTCGGGCCTTATCTCGAAAGGAGGAAGAGAGGAAGAGGAGCCTCGACCTAGGACGAAGAACTCGGAAGTCCCCATAGAAGCCCGGAAGGATACGGACGTTCGATGTTGGCCAAATAGTACGCTAGCCAACCGATGGCGGCGCTGTGATCATCTCCCCTCTTAATCCTATGGCTATATGTAGCGAATTGCATTCCTTCTTTATCTTACACATAATACTCGCCTTCAGGGTCGGCTAAATATAACGTATCAAGTGATGTACGTGCTTTTCTGTGAGATATCGTTGGCTAACACGTGGGGTCTCTCTTTTACCCCCACTTCCGGGGCTTCTGTGGGACTTCTGAATTCTTCCCCTAGGACTGGGGCACCTTGCTTTTCTCTTTTTCTTCCAGCTCGCGATCCGGTGATCATCGAGAGGAGCAACCTCGTCAACATTTCGAAGCTAATCGTGAAGGAGCTGATCGAGACCTCCCTTAAATACGGCCGAATGCTCGACTCGGACCACATGCCGCTTCAGCACTTCTTCATCGTCCTCGAGCACGTCCTGAGACACGGCCTGAGGCCGAAGAAGGTAAAGAGAGAAGAAGGACCACCTAGGATCCGAGGGAGCGACTTCCTAGTCGGCGGTTACCCCGAAGATGGCCCGAAGATGGCCCGAAGATGGCCCGAAGAGTCCCCTATATCCGGACCTTGGATTTCAGGGGCTCCTGGGACCCAAGAAGGAGCTCTGGGACATCCTTCAGCTCGTCGAGAAGTACTGCCCGGAGGCCCAGGACATCACCTCCAGCATCCGGGACCTGCCGACTGTTAGGTACTACCTTAAGGTCTCACCTGGAGGTGGATAACCGGGGTGCGTCCTCGCCGACGTCGGTGGACATTGAGACCAGGGTGCTTTCAGGACCGCCATGGGCAGAGCGCGAGCCTGGCTCAGGATGGCCCTTATGCAGAAGAAACTTGCCGACTATCTGAAGGTCCTCATCGACCACAAGGAGGACATCCTCTCGGAGTACTTCGAGCCGGACGCTCTGATGATGAGCGAGGAGGCCATCGTCGTAATGGGATTGTTGGTCGGTCTCAACGTCATCGATTGCAACTTTTGCGTTAAGGTCAGTCCAGGAGGCCGCGAGGACTCCGCCCGACCTAAGGTGGTAGGAAAGTGGGATACAGGGGAGTCGATAAGATGGGCGGCGGAGGGTTGAAAAGCTGACTTCCTGGTCCACCGAGTCGCTTCACAACTAAATCACTGACATTACTTTTCGGACAAACCCTATATACCGGACTTTCGTATCACCTTAAGAGGATTACCTCTGCGACCGGTGCTAATTATCCCAGGAGGAAGACCTGGACTGCCAGCAAGGTGTTATCGACTTTTCCCTCTACCTGAGGAACAGCAACCACGTCCCCGGCGAGTCGCCGGACGACGAGCTCGAGAGCGACAACATGACGACCGTCCTCGACCAGAAGAACTACATCGAGGAGCTTAATCGACACTTGAAGTAATCACCCGGAGCTTAAGACCTTAACATCACCTTAAGGCGGTGGAAGAGTGGTCTGACCATTGCCGCGATTACAGCGCCACGGTGACGAACCTCCAGGCAAAGGTGGAGGCCCTGACGACGACCAACGCCCTGATGAAGGAGGACCTCGCCATAGCGAAGAACAATATCCTCGCCCTCCACGACGAGAACCGGGAGCTGAAGAAGGAGCTGGGGATCGAGGTGAAAGAGACCGGCGAGGTACTTTTATTCCCGGCATTACCGACCGAGTCCGGGATGGAAATCAGCTGATCGAGGTCGCCTCCTTCGTTTCAGAACGGAAAGGTACCCGTCAAGATATCGGAGACCACCGCGGAGATGGAGGAACTCAGGAGCAGGCTCGACCTGGAGAAGAAACAGAGGCAGGACGTCGAGAAGGAGCTCGAGCTGCAGGTTTAAGGACTTTTATTTGGAAATTTAATCATGTAATGATACGACAAAACGATTGTTATTTAACGCTTAGAAAGGTGTATAGTGGCAGACATGAGTGCCTCCCCTGCAGATACGACATCGCCTGTGCAGGTTGGGAGGGCATTGATGTTTCCCAGTATACAATGGCGGACATGAATGCCTCCCCTGCAGACACGGCATCGCCTGTGCAGGTTGGGAAAGCATTGATGTCTCCCAGTGTGCATACAAAAGGCGGTCTAGGAGGACGTATGTTCGAACACAGAAGACTGCCGAAGCACAATGTGTACACCCTTTCTGTCGCCCTCAGTGGCAGACAGAAGTAATGAAAGGGTTAATTACCGAGTTCCGAACACCTAGACCCAGGGGAGGATGTCGCGATTCACGTGTTCCCTTGTTCGAGGTAGATCAGCATGCGGTCCGAGATGGAGGTGGCGATGAAGCTGCTGGAGAAGGACATACACGAGAAACAGGACACCATAGTCTCGCTCAGAAGGCAGCTGGAGGATATCAAGAGGATCAACCTGGAGATGTACAGGAAGCTGCAGGTACAGGACGTCGAGGATGTGTCGAATGATTAGCCGACTCTTTCATATCCTCTTAACGGAGGTCCTTTCCATTCTTTCCATTCTTTCCAGCCTCGACGTCGTCGGCGCCTCCTCGTGAGAGCTTAGCATCTAATTACCATCCTAACCCTAAATCTTAAGCCCTCTTCGAGTAGAATTTCAGATACCGGGATGCGGCCAGCGGTGGATCCTCTGTCCCCTGTTGAAGTCTCTCCCGACGTTTCGCTTGTAGGAGTGCGAGTACGAGCTGACCCAGAAGGGAGAGATGGTGAGCCGGCTGCACGCCAAGACGAATCAGATAGGGAAGATCCTTAACAACCTGGAGAAGTACAACCACCTGATGAAGGAGGGCGAGGGCGGGCGCAGTCCGACCACCCCAGGAGCCGGGAAGTCCATCATCAAGCCTAGTACCACATCGCCGAAGGGTCCTCCACCTTCGGAGGGCCTCGAGGAAACGGGCAAGCCTCGTCCACCGGAAGCTCGACCTACCAAGGGCCCGGATGTTGCCGCCAAGGGGAGCCCGCCTCCCCAGGAGATGCCCGACGGCGACGACGCCCACACCACTAGTGTCTAAGACCTCGATTGTCTAAACGATGCGCCTGTATTATCGCAAAGGGTTCAGATGTCCCATAGAAGCTCAGATAATGGGTTAGCGCTTGATGCTCTTAAGGTGACGTGGAACACCTAGAGGAACCTGATCGACGTCAGTAAAGAAGATTTTTCTTAATACCTACATTGGCGACGGTGGTTTTTATATCGATAGCTGGGTCGAATTATATTGGGTTCGGGTAGAATAATTATAAAAAAATCGAAGAAAGAATCGTACTAAAACGACAGGTGGAGTATGCCATTTAGTACAATACCCAATATAATTCGACCCAGCTGTCGATATAAAAACCAACGCCGGCAACGTAGGTATTTAGAAAAATCTTTATCGACGTCGATCAAGTTCCTCGACGTGTTTCACTTCACCTTAACCCTCTGGCTACTAAGAGCGACGTTTGGTCTGATATTACCTGCACGGCCAGTCGAATTTGGAATTTATGTCGAAATGGTTAAATTTGGCTATGAAACCGGAAGTGGGGGTGATGTCACCGTAAGATTAAGAGAGATGGAGAGGTGATTACAGCGCCGCCATCGGTCGGCTAACGTACTATTCGTCCAGCATCGAAGGGCCGTGTCTTTCTGAGCTTCTATGAAGACTTCTGAATTCTTTGATTATCGTTAAAGCGACTAATGGGCACCGGAAGTGCAGAGCTGCTGGACGATCCCTACTTCCGGTGCACCTTAATCTGCCGATGCCTCTCTGGATTACGTTGGGTTTTTTATCAATATCGGATTAATATTGGATTAATATTGGATATGGACGCCGTTCCAGGAGACGGAGGGCAGAAAGTGCATCTCGACTCGAGTCTGTCTCGCTTTTTTATTGTTCTCAGTCCCTTGGGATGCACTTCTCTCCTCCGGTACTCTGGTATTTAATTTAAAACTCGGACATGGCTTCCGGTTGTTTGTCCTTTATTATTTATCGTTTCTACTTAAGTGATATGTTAATTTCAGGAGTGCGAGGGCTCCCTTAAGCATAAGACAGAACTGATCGCTAAGCTGGAGACTAAGTCGCTATCCATGACTGAAACTATCCAGAAAATGGATGAGAAGTACGTTTATTTATTGTCTATTAATGTTTATATGTGTGGCGCGAGTCGGGCCGGTCGGACGGGATCGTTATTTCTTTTTTGGGGGGATTTTTTTCGTTTGTAATCAAGGAAATGAAGACTTTTTGGTGCTCGAGCTTTTTAGTAACTAGCTACGAGGAACGGATGCTCGCTTGCAGGTGCTGAATGGATCTAGGGAGATGATAGTTATTTTTTAATACGGGTGGAGACCCTTTAACCGGTGTTTACCTCCGCAAGGGGAGCGGGTTAAAGTTAATGTCTCGGTCTCTGGTGGCGGTTAATGCTTCATCGACGCTAAATCTCGAGTATTTCATACGATGGTCATCTGGAATATCTTGCTTGCACGTGCTGAATGGATCTAGGGAGGTGATAGCTATTTTTTAATACGGGTGGAAACCCCTTAACCGGGGTTTACCACCGCAAGGGGAGCGGGTTAAAGTTAATCCCTTGGTCTCTGGTGGCGGTTAATGTTTCATCGACGCTAAATCTCGAGTATTTCATACGATGGTCATCTAGAATATCCCTCGATCTAGCTTTCCTAATGATAAATCTACGCGCTGAGACTTTAAATAGAGGTAGGAGGAAAATCAAACGACAATGTTACGGAGGAGGTTAACCGTCGATCGGATCTTTCGTTTCCTCTCTTGGAATCGGATCCTCAGGGTTTCGGTCGTTTCCCTAGACTTCTCCGGGTGTAATCGAGAATAATCACGTAAACTGCGAATATTAATAGACGGTGCGATGCCACTTTTGCGCCGGTTAATCGGTTAAACCGAGTTTACGCGGGTTAACCGAACGGCCTCTTTGCCTTCTTCTGGGTTCATTTTTTCGCTCATTTCGTTTATTATGTATATATTTTTTTTTTAATTCAAGGAATAATTATTTCGCTCGAAATTCCTCCTCATCTAGATTGTATTTTGGGTGCATTAATTATTCCTCCAAGTTATGAAGTATTTCTTTGGTACTGGGCAAGAGAATATATTTTTTTTTTGGTTCAATGGGCTATTTTTTTTTTCTTTTTTGGGGTATATCGAGCGACGATCGTCGCAGCTCTTATCACGACACCATGTGCGCTTGTATGACGTTATCAGAATAAATTCCTAATTGTAAGCTAATCGTATATTTGATTACCCTGAAGGTTGTATGTCTATACTTTTTTTTTTTTTAAGTCACTTCCAAAATGTTTTTTTACCCACGACTCGCATGCGTTTCCGTAAGGTGCAGGTTGTTCTCTGTACGATCGTAATTTAAAAATTTTTTTTGTTGTGCCTGGAACACACTTATGATTTTTTTTTCTTATCTCATTTTTTATTTTTCCCCACCAGTCGACGTCATCGCGATCTTTTGCATCGTTCATTCTAACTTTTCTTTCTTTGCATGCCGAGATATGGTTAGGTTTAAGGAAAGCACCTCAAAAGCGGAAAATTTCATAATTGTTTCAGGAAATCTCGTAAGGATCCCGCAATTGTTTAATGAAATTTCGTGCAAAAATTCAGTAATTGTTTCAGAAAAAGTCTGTAAATTTTTCTGAGAATTTCGTAAACTGAAACAATACCTCTAGGGGTATCAGAAATTGTACTTTTGAGGTGCTTAATAAAATTGTGCCGTAGCGCAATTTCGAAGGTAAGTTGGGACTCCAGAATTTTCGCGACTGCGAGAGAGGGAAAAGCCGAAGAAATTGCGGGAAAATCCGGCGACACTTATTGTCATTCCACCCTCGACATCCAGGGGGAAGCATTTTCCCCGGGTATATTTTTCCAGCTCGATGTCCCCGTCGCGGAAATAATCCCCGAATGCGGAAATTCGGGGACGGCCCGAGAAAATACGGATCCGCGGAAAGAATAACATTGGATATGAAAAAAGAAAAAAAAAAAGAAAAAGGTGCATTACCCTCGAGAAGTCCCGCGATATTCAAACAATAGTCAGCTTTCCAATTTCCCCGGAAATCTCGTATCGACTCTCCGATCTCGGGAGGAAAATCGAATTTCCCTATTCCTTCGATCTTAATTACGTGTATTAATTACGAATAGAGATTAACTCGGTGATCGGTCCTTGGGGAAAGGAATACCACCCCTTTCTTTTCGATTTTTCCCGGAAAAACTTTCGGGCTTACGTCCTACGGTCACCCGCCGCGGATGTTCACCTGAGTGTTTCTCGCCTTAGCTTCCCCTTTCCGGTTCCCCCGGGTTCTCTGGTTTTTCCCACCCCACCGGGGTGCCGGGCAAAGGGTCCACAGAGTGCGCCAATTATAAAATCGTTCCGTCCGACCCGCTGGGGAGGGTGGTCGATTATAAAGAAGATTTCTTTTTAATTGCACGTTCGTTAAGCCGGCCGGCGCACTCGTTAAAATGGCGAACAAACGTGCACACGGTACTCAGGCCCGACTGATTTCAATTGGTTAGGTGCAAAGAGATGGAGGGAGTCAGGTCGGGGGCCGAGGAGAGGGCCAGGGCCCTGGGGGCGGAGGTCGCCGAGAGGGAGGCCAGGGCGAGCGGCGTCGAGAGGGAGCTCAAGCTCGAGAGGGAATGGCGCACCTCCTTGCAACAGGCGTCCATCGGGAACGTCGAAAAGATCTCACGACTCCACCAGGAGATCGACCAACTCAAGCAGGTCGCCGAGGTGGGTCCTTCGACCATCAAAATGAGATATTCCAGCTGGTCCACTGAATAAAAAAAAAAAAAACTAAAACAATCTATACGGCGATCTATGGCGATCGCGGCATGTTTTCTCGTAGAAGTACATGGCCCTGCAGGAGGAGCACTTCGCCCTGAAGGAGATCTGCACCGAGCAGGAGAGGACTCTGGAGGAACTGGGAGGACAATTGAGTACGGCTAAATTGGCGGCTGTCGAATTGAAAGAAGCTGCGGACAGTGCCCAACAGCAGAATCTCCAGGATGGAGCCGCACCCTGGACCAAGGACCGCTCCATCACGCACTGTAAGGGATGCAACAGGGAGTTCACCCTGACTCGTCGGAAGGTGAGGAGAAATCGACTCCCCGAGATACATCTCTGGTCCATTAAGGTGTCGAGGAGCTTGATCGACGTCGGTAAAAAAGATGGTAATGAAGAGAATGAGAACGCGCCAGCATACCATTTGTTACCATTTGAGTATTCAAAACGGCATTCCCCCCAAAAGGGTACAGATGAATTTCACTTAATCGAAGTCGATTAAATTTCTTAACGCCTTTCATATCCTCTCAAGTCATTACGCGATCCCAGGATGGGAATATATGGGATGACGTCGGTGCATGTACGCATGCATATTCAGGGTTTGTGATAGAGACGTCGGGGCGGCTCGTAAAATACGTTTACACCGTATTCCCGGTTTTACGCCGGGTAAGTTATTGCATAATAACAAGGCAGGCTCGTATCTTTGTTGCTCATTTTTCCCGGTGGGTGGATTAGCATACTGTTTAATATAGAATAGCCCACCTAAGGTACACGCCGTGGAGCCGGCCGACGCGGAAGGAACCGTCCGGAACGGCCGCCGGATGTTCCCGGGCAAGAGAGTCCGCGGAAAAAGCGGAGGAGACGCGAGCTTACATACCCGGGGTGTACTTGCACATGCAAAGGCATGCAAAACGAGGAGTCGACCTCGTGCAGGGAGGCGAACTCGAGGACGAGGTGCGAGACTCGCGAAAAAACCGCACCAGGACTTTTTTTTTTCTTTTTTTTTTACTTTCGCCCTGGATTTGCATCCCGGGACTCGACAGGGGACGGATCGCTCCTTGGGGAAAGAAATACCACCCCTTTGCTTTTTATTTTTACTGGAAAATTTTCGGATTTACGTCCTACGGTCACCCAGAGCGATGTTCACCTGAGAGTCTCTCGACTTAGCGGTCTGGCTCGGTACTACTGCTTGAACGAAACCTAAGGAAATATTTTAAGACCCGGAGGTCCTTTAATAAGTCCTTTTAAAGTAGTCCAGGGCGTTTTGGAGTAACTACCTCGAGAGGCGGTTTCGCTGACGCGGGTCTCCTCGGTCTACTCCTGGGGCTCTAGTTCGAATCTTCGATTTGATTTATTCCGGGTGGAAAGTACCCCGTAAGTAAGTAACCCAGGAAGATAAGGACGGCGGTGAGGTCTGGGAGAAGTTCCAGGCACCGATCTCCTACATTTTGGCCATAAGTCACGTCCTGGAGACGGTCCAATAATTAACTTTAAGGGGAATCGGTTATCGAATTGCGATATTACCGATCCCCTCTTGCTCACTGTCTAAGGTAATAACCACGACCCCACCGTGTGAGTCTTATTAAAGGATTCAATTTAGATATAAACATTCACCCTCCACCCTCCTCGACAGGGGAAGTTAAATCCACCTGGGGGATTAACATCGAAGGGATTTGCATGGGCCCCCTTGAAAATATGAAAAGAAAATTTCTAAGCCTGCCTGGGTTCATGTTTTACTATGAAAATTCTTTCCTGAGAGGGTATTTTAATTTTTATAATTCCCCTCGATATATCTATTTCATCTGTTGCAGCATCACTGTCGGAACTGCGGGAAGATCTTCTGCAACTCTTGCAGCGAAAACACGATCGCGATGCCAAACTCGGCGAAGCCGGTGCGAGTCTGCGACGAGTGCCACGTGTTCCTGATCGGACGTTACTCTGTAGTGCAATAGTGGGACCCTTTGCTCCAGAGGATGGTCATGGAGTCGCAGGGTCGACGGGGACGCCAGAAATCGTCGCCAAGAAGGACCTGGAGGACGACTCCCAAAAATGGACGAGGCGAAGGCATCTTCTCGAAGAGGAACACCTTCTACGCCATAGGGATACTTACCTGGGAATTATGCTAATTAAACGCACAAGGACACCCTCCGAGATGAATCTGGCGACAAAGTGTAAACATCCGGACGATTAATAAATGAGATTTATAGTTTTCGATACGTTGTATGATTTTCGGAGAAGAAGAAGGAGCGTCTCGCTCCTTAATATGTCCTTTTAAATATGTATATATGTATACTATACTACCCTTTTATTTTTCATTTTTCCCGGAAAATTGTCGGATCTACGTCCTACGGTCACCCGCCGTGATGTTCACCTGAGAGTCTCTCGACTTAACGACCTAGCTCGGTACCAGCCTGACAAAAAAATGTTTTCTTTGAACAGAAGGAATGTTAAATTCAATTTCTTATCGCCTTTCATATCCTCTTAATGCGGTTTAATTCGGACACATCGCCTAGAAGAGAAGGGATTATCTTGGAGAACTTGAAGAAGCTCCCTCGTCTCTTGGTATAATTACAGTGGGCATGATCAATGGTCGTCCTCGAAAGGGGGAAAGCACCCTAAAGAAGGCTGCAAAGGGGCGAAGTTTCGCGGTTAAATCGGGAAAAAGAAGTCCTGAACTAGGTGTGTACACGAATCGAGAAACTGGTCCGTCTAGTCCTGGGAGGAAGAATAAAGGAAAACTAATGGATCGCTGGGGGAACTTTGGGGAACTTTCGATGCTTTCGTGGACTCGGAGACAAGAGCGTGGGTGGAAGGCCGGGAATTCCCCCAGGAGTTAAGAGGATGACAGAAGAAGAAGGAATTCCAGGAGGAAGAGAGTCACCCGATGAAGTTTCGAAGCGCCTTTTCACCAACCCCATCGGAAGGATATACGACTTTCTTTTTCAAGGAAAAAAAGAAAAGATCATTTCAGACCCTACGCGGAATTTTCTCCGCCTTTTCCCATCCGCAGACCGGAAATTCCGGACTGCCGATGTATATAGACGTGTACAAGATTTGTAAACAATGCGTACTAAATAACTGAAGGAAACCCAGGAAAAATCCGGATTCGTCGAAAGCTCAATTTGCATATCACTCGTAAGCAACAAGTTGTTCTCGTAGCATTTAGGTCGCGTGCGGATATTCGTACGTAGGAAATTTTCCACGAGACTGAATGGATTTATTTTCCGAGGGTTCGGTGGTGTTTTTATTTTTTATTTTTTTTTTAATCCATTTTTTTCGAAGTTCGTCGAATAAGCCGACAATTTTCCGATGCTCGAAACGCTCGGTCCTGGATTTGCCGGAATCTCGCCCTTCGGGGATTATTTATTTGCCCGTTTCCACGGTCCCGGTTTTATTAAATCGCGCCAGTCCCGAAATTATTTGCATAACTTTTTCTATCCGAGGACTTTTGACGCGTATCCTGGCGTCGCGTCAGAGAATAATCCGATTTCCTGTTCGAAATTGATAGAAGCATGGACCTATACGTAGCAGCGTTTCCACCGGCGGGATTAAAGCCACTATCTACCCGATTTCGAATTTCCCGCGCGCCGAAAGCTGCGAATTCGCGATTTGCGACTAGCAAGAAAAAAGAAAGAAAATCCAAAGCGAGCCTCCTTAGAATTTATTTCGACCCTATGAAATCAAAAGTAAGAACCTTGTACAGCGAACGAACCAATTGCGAAATTGTGTAATTTATTGTATATGTGCGCGATTTCTCACTTAAATGAAATGTACATACATATTATATATATATATTTGTTTTATTGTGACGTTAAAGGATGCGGATGTGTATACACGGAGAATGAACAGCTCTTTCTCGAGAAGTTAACTCGTCTTGGCGGCGAGGAGTGCATAAAAAATGCAATCGAATTAAAAGCTTTGAGCAGCGACCCCCGAAGGGCGCGGTGCGCATGCGCGGGCCGGGACGGCGGTAAAAGCGGGGCGCAGAGCCGCGGAGCGGTCAGTCGACGTCCGCGCGTCGTCGGGATCGGGATGTGTGTCTTCGCGTGTGTGCTGGTGATTTGCCTCGCGACTTCGACAACGGGGCTGGCCGACTCTACATCAGGTAGTGGTGCATAGAAAGTAGACAAAGCAAGTGTGCTCAGGGATTCATATTCAAGTTCGATCGGTAACAAAAAATCCACATTCATATTCGACCATTAAAAATGATCCAAGTGACACTCAAATCCAGTGGAATCTTTTTCCTGTCCATGTTTAGGAAGTTTTTTTACCATTGTTTTTTAAGCATATGTTTATATGTTTTATATAATAAATATTTTATATATTAAAAAATAGTCTCCAGTACCTAAGCACACTTAACTCGACAAGGCTTGTGGAGATCGTAATAATTCCTTAAAAATAGTTATTAAGTATTGTTGAACGAAGACGTTGTTTCTTTTAAATATATATTTTATTATATTATGTATGTATGTTATGTATATTAAATGTACGTTTTAAATACAGAAATATAAAAAAAAGCGACGTTAAAAAATATTCCCCATCTCCTAGGCGCACTTAACTCGACAAGTCTTGTGGAGATGTTAATAATTCGTTATAAATATTTATTAAGTATTCTCGTACTATTACAGTACGAATTGCGTTTCTAGAGGAGAGTAAGTTTCTCGGAAAGTTTCCGCCCGACGAGCGGTGGTACTTAATCGACAAAGCAGAATCGATTAAAGATCCTGAAAAGCTCTTATCAGGCCTTACGACGGATCTAATAAACTTCGGGTAATGCAGAATGGAATGTCGTTATCCGAACCGTGACTTCGAAACGCGGTTTGTTTATACGCGACAACTACATGCTTTGTTGACTTTCTGATGTGCCTTAGTTACCACATAGGGAATTTATATTGTTTATCGCGATTGTAGAATTGCCGTAATTTATGCACGTCTTAATGGTGAATTAATATACATTCATTATAAAATTCTATATTAATTTACAATTTTGATAACACCGTGTTGTAATTTTCTGAGATTTCGTAGGAGAAATTACAAATTTGACACTATAAATTTATTTGGTATGCATTGTTTGGAAATCTTTTTAGATGAGTTTTCAATTTTTTATATGGACTTTTTTTGGCGTTTAAGGTTTTTAATTAATTAATTAAAAAAGAATACAAATTTATAATACATATATTATAAATTGATTACACATACGTACTAAATTCATAATATATGTTATACATTTTATTTGAAAATATGTTATAAAATGATAATATTTTGTTTTGAACAGTATATCTGTCGCACTCGCGGCCGCGCGACGCGCGTCTATCTGTCGCACTCGCACCCGCGCGACGCGCGTCTATCTCTCGCGGTCTATCCCCGGCACGAAACTACTCGGTATAAATTATCACCGCGGGAAAGTCCAACGAACTCGGCCTTATCCTTTCGCGTGATAATTATTCTCTAGCCGGCGGAAATAGGTTCCTTAGTCGTTAAACGAGACACTCGTCGTTTTACGGCAAGGGCCGATTCTCTTGTCGAGAGACTTACGCCCCCGCGGAATTGGAGATTAGCATTGACGGGCGAATAAAGTGCAACCTTATCGGGACGTGATAAGAACTATCCAGGCGAAACGCCCGCGGCATCGAGTACTCGAGATATATCCGGAGCAGCTCGAAAAAATCGTATGACGTGGTTTAGGGTCACGTGTCGGTTGCATTATTACGCGTTATCACGCGTAATTATGCGTTATCATGGTCACGTGTTCCGCGTGCCTTCATTACGTCGCCGTTGATAAGAACGATATGTCGAAATCCAAGGTATCTCCGAATCGAGTCGATAAAAGGGGGATTTAACTCGCGAGCCGATCGATCGGATCTACCTCCGATAGATCCGATAGACCCGATAAATCCGATAAATCCGATCCGCGACCTTATTATCGCCTCGCTGGCCCGAATCACTTGTGCTCGCCTCGACCTATCGCTCTCTCTCTCGCACCCACCTTACCGGGCATCGCTCCCTCTCTCTCGCACTCACGGGGAATCGGCGAGCGAAGCCCGAGGGCCGCGTCGCGTGCTCGGAATCGTTTTCCGAGTGTCATTTCAGATAATTCCCTCGTTTTCCCCCGTTAGCTCCGACCTCCTCGCGATTATCCACCTGCGTCCTACCTTCAAAATCCCCCTGGATCCGGCGATGGCGTCGATAATCCCCTTTTTTCCATATTTTATTTTTTTTTCTCCCTTGAGCGACATTTCCTTGCCGCGGTCATTTCGATACGTCACGTGGAAATTAATGGCATTCATGCTTTAGGGTTAATTACGCGATTTTACCTCAAATGAGAGAATTGTTTATTTAAAAAGAAAAAAATTTTTTTTCAAGATATTTCTCTTCTTCGATTAGCGATAAATAAATTTTCCGGGGCATAGAAAAAATTCAGTCGTAATTATACGTCCGTATCCCTTCTCGCGTAAATCCCTCTCGAACGAGTTCGAAGCCATTTTCTAACCCTTTCTTCATCCCCCGATGTATCGAGATACACCCATCCGGTTCATTCGATTCGTCTGGACTTTCTGCACTAGTGCAGAAAGTGCAATTATTCATAGGTCGATGGTTCGAACGGATCAATAAGAAGCCGCATTATTCGCACTGGTCGACTAAACGAAGCCGAGTCGAAAGCAAAGAGAGACGGTCGGCCATTTCTTCCTTATCATATTGGTAGAGACCAATTGAAGGCGATTTATGATAATAGAGATTTTTTTTAATCATGTCCTCCTATCGATTAAAATTATTATTCCGCGTTAATGGCGTAATCGGAAATAAGATTTATCCGATCGTGGGGGATATTGGAAGGAAAATGTCAGTTTTTCAGTAGACGGGTTTCGGTCTTGAAAAATTAAAAAATTAAAACATTAAAAATATCGTTCCCTCGCCTCTAGAAAATTGCGCGATACTCGGTACCCACTACGTACTAACGAAGACTCATTAAAACGTTCTCCGAGGATAAAAAGAGAGAACGTCCAAATGAAATTTGCTCTTGCCGGTCGACAAATAAATAAAATAAATAAATCCTCGAGTGAGTCCTACAAATTTCGCTTCTCTTTCATTTCACGATTTTTTTTTATCAAGGTTTAGAAAATAAAAATTGCCTCGATTTTCTGGGGTAAGAAAAATCGGGGAGGATGGATTCCTCTTTTTTTTTTTCTTGTTATCTCTTATCTGTTTATTTATTCGCTCGGTCAAGGGGCTCGTCATTTCTCCCGTTTCCTGTTTATTTATTTTTCTTATTTCTTTTGATCGATATTCAAATTCACGATCGATATTCACACACGCACGCGAATTAAATATAACTGGACGTGTACGGAATCCCTTTATTTTTTTTATTTTTATTTAATTTCACTTAGGGTCTTCCCGATTAATTAAACACGTTCATGTTAATATACGAAGGAAAAGGAGAGCTTCCCTTTTCCGAGGGCCCCGCTGAATTAATCCCCCTCATTAATTTCCCGCTTTCATGTGATTAACCCCGACCCGGTGTGCAAGTCTCTTTCAGCTACATTTATTTAAACATTCGAGCGCGATATATAGTTCGCTTTGCTTTAAATGCTCTATTTAACAATAACAAGTACGCAATTCATGCACTGATTATTTTCCTGTCGATAAAGTGACTTTTCGTGATCACAATAGGGGGTAAAGAAATTCCTACTTCGCCATTTTTCATTTCATTTTTTTTTCCCACCCTCAAAAAATTCCCGGGATAAAATAATTGATAATAATTTCCTACGTCCATAAAAGTTAATACCACTCTATGGAAAGTCGAGTGGATGATGTCTTTTAACCCCGACACCATACACGACATCTTTCCTCCCTTGATTTGTATATAAATAAATATTAAATGGAAAAATCCTCGTTCTTCATTTTTCACGGCGTGAAATAATGATGCCCCCGTAAGGGGATTTTCCCTCGGATTCCAATTGGAAAGTGCTCGGAAAATTCGTCGACCGACGTCCTCTTCCTCGGTGGCAATTTTATAAATCACGACGTCGCGACGCCGGGCGCCGCTCGGCCCTGCCATAAAAGTGATTGATTCGACGGAACGCCCCATTGTGGGATTGCCAAATAAAGAATCGACAATTATTTCTTTTTATTTTATCCCCACCCCTCGAGGCATTAATCGATCTCTATCGACGTCTGATTTGAATTTCGAAAAATCCTCCTCCGGTGCGTACGGGTATTACCCGTACAAGCTCATTTAAATGCAAATCGCAAATTTTCCCCGCAGATTTTTCCGACCCATCACCGTGGCGATAGAAGATGGTTCCATTTTTTATTTCATTTATCCCATTTTTCGGCAGTTTCCACCTGGGCCTTTGTGAGGCAGCTTAATGGAGTGTTCATATACAGAGCGTACAGCGTTTTCCCATCAATTTCCCTCCCCCCTCCCCTGAAGCGTTACGCGATACTCTCGAGTGAATCCGTGGTGATAGGAAAAAAAAAACGGAAAACAAGGGTAAAAAATGAGGTATCAATAAAAATTGATACTCGATCAAGTGCGACGCGGAAGCGTTTGCGAGCGAGTTTCCCCTTACAGAACCCCATAGTTTGGATAATTTAATAAAATGAAAAAATACGTGAAACCCGAATTAGACGAAGTATTCCACTGTACGCCTCGTAACGCATTATTTAAGCCCAATCCCAGAAAATGACAGACGGCTGCCCAGCTCGAGGCACTTCCTGCTACCCCTTTCGGCTCCACAAAGTGACTCTCGCAATTCCGCCTAATTTCCGTCCATTCCGGTCCACGAAATCGGAGTTAATTTTCAAATCCACCCCCTGAGGAAAGTAGCCGAAAATTCCCCCAATGAGGAGCGCCATGAAAGCGCACGAATGGAAAAACTATGCCGGAAAATTGCGATCGCGAAGATTCCTCGAATTTGTGAAAAAAATTGCCTCGCGACCGGATCGGCTTTTCTTCCCCGCAAAGGCGGACGGCGGAATAATATCCGGGTCTGCGGTAAAGCCGGAAAAGTTGTTTACATCTCATTCATTTCTCTCCCTCGAGCTCTCGCGCTTAAGTCCTGGGTAGAAATAAAGAGTATCGCGGGTACAGCCTCTCGTTACACT